AGTGTTATGACGGACTAAATTTAATCTCAGCTGTGGGCTTGTTTCAGTGCTGCGTCACACCAGGTAAACAAACAGCGCTAAAGAAGCCGGGAAAAAAATCATACAATTCATTTGTGTTTGCAAGTGTAAAATATGTGTAAAGAAAGAGGTAGATCAGGTTATTACGACGTGCACAATTGGATTATTTTTTTGTTGCCAAAATAGAAGTATATTCCAACTCTTTATGAATCATCCAATGCTGTTCAACAGCAAATGTCTAATATTCACGAGCAGACCCCCCCAAATTCACTAAGCAACCGTAAAATATTAGACTAGAGAAAACTTGACCTGCTGCAGCCAAAATGTGTCAGCATCTTGGTGCAGCCTGGTCTTCATCCTCCATCCTGGAGACAAGCCTTTCAGCAGGCTGGGTCTCTCTGCTCCTGCGTGCACCACGGTCAGACCACGTAGAAATGTTTATGTGTGTGATATCATAAGGACATTGTATATAATTATAAGGTTTGTTGTCCAGAGTGATACAAGAATTTTAGTTATTTCCTTAAAGAATCTACATGTTCATGTAGAGGAAAGAAATGTGAGCTTTTGTCGTCCTTTACAACAAGCACTGCAAAAGCGAGCTTCTATCGAGCACCAAAGATGACTTTAACTGAATTAATGCAGACCAATTACACTGAATATTTAAATCTGAGTGCACTGCAGAATTGTAAGAAGGAGAGAGGGAGGGGAATGCAGGAAAGGGCCTGAGGACACAAACACTACTGTAGTACTCTGTGTAATACATCAAAGACCATCGTCATCTTGAATATTTAAGCTACGAGTTGCGAGGTAACTTAAGAGCTGAGTAAAGCCGATGGTTGAATCATCACCTCCATTATTTTGCCTCATAGGGCTTCACGATCTCTGTACATTTTACAGATTGTAAAACCTTCACATCGGTAAAGAAAAAACTTTCCCCAAAAAGACTTTAACGAGGAGAAAGAAACCTTAGCGGGAGCTACAGGGGAGGGATCCCTCTCCCAGGATGGACAGAATACCCGACGATGTCATGTGCCCAGTGTACAACATAACAGTACAGAATAGTAAGCAGAATAATAATAATTACAATGACCCTTGAGCAAAGCAATACCCTGCCAACTCCTATAGGAGCGCGTGTCAATGGCAGCAACCTCCCTCCGTCTCCCCACAAACCAAAATGCAATGCATGCAAGTGTCCCGAGTCCAAACTAAGTCCTGTCCTGTCGTTGACGCTTAACCCTCTAAATACCTATTGTGTTCATATTTCTATACTAAAACTGTGGTTCTTTGTTTATTGAATCAAGGCGACGTTGTGCACATAGTCCAGGGGAGATGCAGAGTACCAGGATGTGCATGTAAACCAAGGGTCTAGTGCCAGAAGTGTGATGCTAACCTCTGCTTCACATGCACCAACATCTGCTTCTTGAGGTTCCACACAGAACAGGAAATGTTTCATTTCCACTCATTCAAACACCAACACACACACACACACACACACACACACACACACACACACACACTAAAGCACAGTGAATCAATTGGATGTTGGTTTTCATGAATTGGCAAGTTTTGCATGTGGATTTTGTATGTGAAGTGTTAGTAATTTCTATTACTTTGTAATAATAATATGTTCTAATTGTCATTGTTTGGATCTATTTGTGGTTAATGTTGTCAAAAGGAACTCTTTCTTTATCCAGGGGGAGGAGGGGGGGACCCAGGCTCCTTAAAAATGCCATTGAGGGCTAAACACACTAAGTGTGTCTGTCAGCTGGTCCACTGTACCAAACATACATGCGTTTCTTCTGCATTCTGCAAGTCTTATTTTGTAATCAAGTCTGAAGTCGAGTCAAAAGTCTAAATTCATCAGACGGGGGACTCTAATCCTCGGTGACCTCGTGACCCGAGTCGAAGAAGCCTTGACTTTGAAAAACATCCTCTGGTGCTCAATCAGGAAGTGATGTTTGGCTTTTCCTGACGCAGCAGTGGACCATGAGGAATAAACAGAACCAACAGCTAGAGCACTAAATCGAGTTGGGAGGTGCACTCATGTGCAATATGACCATTTTAGCTGGTCGAGCTCTGATTGATCTCATTACCACCTCCACATTAGCTCTGAAATAGTCACACATGTGGAGGTGTTGCTACAATGACTCTAATCTATAAAATGTAATATGACAGCTCCTTTTATCACACAGCTCTGCCTCGTTCCGTAACACGATTATCCTGCAAACAGGATTAACATCCCATTCATGAATACAGACTTTTTTGGGAACAGCCGATACAAAGGGGGACATGGGGAATATGTGCAGTGCTCAGGAGGCTACATCCTTCTCCCTCTTCATCCTCTGCAGCAGAATGGAGCACTTCCTCTATTTTCCTGTGTGAGCGCGGTCGGCCTCACAGCTGGGATTTATAGCATCTGGTCACAGGGGCCGCTGACGTGGAGGGGGGGGGGACTCTCTCTGGTCTCCTCCTCTTCCTCGAGGATCAACTTCAACCACAACGACCCGGCCTGAACCCCGTATGGCTGTCCAGTTTCTCAGTCTTACATTTTCGCTGTTGTGATTAAAAACCTCCAAACAATGTATTTTTTGAGTGTCCCTTTTCGGTTTTGGTTGCTAATCTATAAAAGGAGCTTCTTCCAGGAGCAGAAGGAAGGCTTCCAGGCCAGAATCCACATCTCCAGCCTGACTGTGTGATGTTGGGATTTTTCCAAGACAGTAACGTCAGCGGGAGGCTGGCGGGGCCAAAGGGAGGCCACGTCTCATGATCTCTTCCACAGAGGAGCATTCAACAAGAGCAGGCGCAGTGGCAACTGCAGACAGCCTCGTAGCCGTACAATTCAGACTCCTTTTTCCGTGTCAGGGGGGCGCCACAAAAAGCCGGGGCCGCTCCTATTGTGGGCCTTAAAACAAAGACTCTAAACGTGTCACGTCTCGGTTTGTCTCCAGCGGCACGCGAGTTAGCACGTTTCCTCTGTGAGATCGAGTCCAGCAGCACACAGGCGACGGGACAACAGACTGTGAGTGTCGTAATGTTGCTGGCTGACTGCTTTCAGGGAGTTGGGTGGGGGGGTGACAGGAGATATATGAGGTCAGGAGAGATGAATGTATGCATCTATGTGAGGAATTTGGAAGGTCTACATGCATCAAAGGGTTAAACCACACGTCTGCCGACCTCCGACCTGAATGAATCACTTTGGAATGGGATTGTGGTCCCTCTCACACAGCGGGCACAATACAGGCTGTAAAAAAGCAAACAAAACCAGCTCGGCTTTTCTTTCTTTCTATCAGTCTTTTTTTTTTCTAACAAGAATGAGACTCGTGGCTCTCAGAAAGGCGTCAGAGAGAAAGAATGCTTCTGTTTATCTAACGCCACTGCCTTTTTCGGCATCCAGCGTTCCACATAACGTCACCTGTTGAGCAGCCGGGCTGAGACCAAAACATCCTTTGTTTCCCACCTTAGATCGCTTATCCACATCCCTATTCCTGCTTAGGAATAAAGGCCCTTTGAGCAGTTCAACCAGCACACTTAGTTTCACGCTTAACCAGCTAAAGACAGCCTCAAAGTCAACAAGCGAGCCACGGACACGTGCAGTACGATGCTTCTGCCCTCGCTCAGGTTCTCTTCACACCCATTCTGACTTTGTAATTGGGACCAGGGTCGGAACTGTAATTAAAAGGCGCAAAGAACAAGAGCCTTTTGATGTTGTTATTTGTCAAACTTATGTTTGTTAAGGGGTCGCTATGACAGCTGCAACGATAAACTAGACAGAGGTGAATACATATCTGCAATCCAGGCACATGTAGGCCGAACATTACACCACCGGAAAGACAAACGCGCCCAACAGCTTTTTTAGCTGTAAAATGTCTCACTGTTTAGGCTTTTTGGCTCCAGAATAAAAAAATACATCAATTACAACGGCTGAAGATGTTGTTGTCAGTATTGGGCTAACGATGTCGAGCATCTGACTGACTCGTGCTATTATTCGTCCTGCAAGAGGCGATGCACGTTTCAGCATCGTATCGACACCCACACATTCAGGGAGCGAGCGCCGCGACATTCTGCCTCTGCTGGGATAGAAAGCTGCGGCGAACGTTTCTGCCTCCATCCCAGGCTCTGCACACCTAGTGGAAAGAGAGGGGGAGGGCTGCCAATGAACAGAAAGTCACCTTCCGCCAGTGCACAGGTCAAGGGTAGCTGCGTGATGGATACAAGACACCGCAGATTCATATCAGCCAGCATGAAAGCAGATATTTAGAGTACCGGGAAAACGAGCATAATCAACGATATTACCCTTTTTTTCCCTGATCTGGGTAATATATTCCTCATCGCATGTACGGTAAAGGAGGATTATTTCAGGATTTCACTGAAATAAAATTGTCACCGTGCTACTGGATCAGCCACGAAGAGGCCGGTCAGTGTGAGAAGCTGTGAGATGGAGATGCAGATGTTAACAGCTGCTATCTGCGCTGCTGGGGTGCTCTTGAGCAAGACGCTGGCCGGGATTAGAGAGGAGTTTACCTGCGGTTAGTATCTCACTAATTAGGTTGCTTTGCTTCATTGGTATCTTCAGCTGCACCAGCTTGCCTCATTGTGTACTGGAGGACCACGTTTCAGCCCTGTGCACCACCGACGCGTTTGGTAATGGAGACCACAGCTCGGTGCAGCATTTCCAGGATGTCTTGCCGCTTAGGACGAGCCTGTTAGAGATGTGCAGACAGCCCGCTGTGTGTGTGGGGGGGAATTACAGCAGGGTTGCCAGGATGGGAAAAACAACCCATCTTTTAGGATCCGGAGTGGGAGGAATTTAATGTGTTGCATTGCTGCAGATGTTGAATCTAACGTGGAAAGTACTGACACACTTTAATTATGATTGGTAGGGTGAAAAGATCAAGGAGGGGGGGAAATGACACATTATAACCACAATCATCGTCATCTTTGAGCCAGCGATGACTTCATTGGCTGCAGCCTGATGTACTCACATTTATCTGTTAGGGTCAGCTTCTCCTCGAAATGATGTCCGAGCTCTTTATAATCCATTGTTTCCATTCAGGCGGAACGATTCCCGGTGGCTGTCATTCCTCAGAAGCTCAGTACAGGAGATGAAACTCCGGTGCAGATCGTCCCAAACACGCCCTTTGTAAATCCAGCCGGAATACAGAGGAAAAAGTGACCAAAACAGGATTGTGCAAATAAAATCACGTTACGAAGAAGAAGGACGATTGGGAATGTGCTGAATCTCAATACACTGTTGTCAGTGTCTTGTTAGAAATAAGAGACTCGGTCTAATCCAGCGAGTCGTTAGTGGAAAATTTACAGTGTGAGAATAAAAAGCTTCAGCGAATCCTGCGTGGAGCGGAGTCAAGTTGCGATGACGGATAAAACTACTTCCGGTAAGACTCTTTAGAATAAAACGACTCCTCGGTACTTAAAGCTACGTGGTGCAGGCGGAATGGAAGAATCATAGCCCTTTGCCAGCTTATTTTAAATGAGATTTTTCTGATTTTCACATACAATAAGTAGCAAACCATGACCATTCCACATGCACAAAAAACAAATTCAATACAAACAATGCATTTCAACAAGAGGCTGCAGTAAAAAATAATACTCTCAGAAGACTGGAAGAATCCTCAAAGTATGGTCACTATATCGAAAAGGTCTGATGCTTTGTGTTGAAGCATGATATAGCTAGTTGACATGAAAGACAAATACTGCTCTTCACAGTTTTATACAAGATTAAGCTGAACGACAAATTAAGTTTGCGGATCTTTCGGAGGTGACATTTAAATATTCAAACAGCAATACACTCCCACAACACTATACAGACGGGAAAGATTATATAAGTATGAGTAAGAATTACATCCATGCAGCTGTTATTCAAGAAATACCTCACTCCAAAGTGCAACAGCCCTAATGTAATTGCATTGAAATGTAAATGCTCCTATATATATATATATATATATATATATATATATATATATATATATATATATATATATATATATACCCAATTAATTACCCAATATATATACCTAATTAATTGAGAACTATTACAAAACCCGTTTTTGAACAACTTTATATGTCTAAAAAAACAACCGTGTTTTACTCTGAAATCAAAATTGCTCAATTTCCGGTATGTGACTCATACGCTTTTCTGACACCGTCGATCCCAACGAAAAACCGCATGCCGAACAACTGGACTCGGCCAACATTTTCGCAAGGGACAAAACTCATTTACTAAAACGCCAGCACAAATAATCTACCGGACACAGACCAAAAGCCCCTGAAAATGAATTGCATTTTCCGTTGTGACTGTCTCGTTGGTGTTAGCCGCAGTACAAGGACCAAACGTGTCCCCTCGAACACCATAAGTGGTTTGATCCATCGGATGATTTCCAGCAGCTGTAAACAGCCTCGCTGCCCCGGACGAGCTACACTCACATAACTGCGCATAAAACGGACCGTGTGTGTTTATTACGTTAGTTGACGGGTTGTAACAGGTAATGGTAAATTCTTTACGCTACGGACAACATATATATATATTATATAGTATTGATTTGCTGGCTGAAACCAAACACATCTCTCTGATATATCACTGAGATACTAATAAAGAAATCATGACACAAAGTAACATTCAGCCGACTGTTTAAAATGACCAATGAATCGAACATACAATCCTATAGACACCAGGACCACAGAGGGACTTCACATCTCATCAGACTAAAGACACACCGCGTCAGACTCTACCTCCACTAAAAGACTAACACACCGTAGCACTTAAATTGTACGTTTAAGGCCACTTATCCATAGCAAATTGTAAATTGGCTTATTTGAGAAAATTGCACTTTCGTGTTTCTTGCTCTTCTGAGTTTGTATCCTTATGGTTGAAATGCACGCGTTGTAAGTCACTTTGGATAAAAGCGTCAGCTAAATGACATGTAATGTAATGTAATATACATTTCAGAAAAATGTGTATAAGCACAAACTACACTTTATGCTCATATCAAGTCTCCAGAGTTCAGGAGGAACCTTATTTATTTTTTGAAAGATACATTTTATAAATAGAATTAGCAGAATCACACCTATTTAGCTCTTTTTGGTGATTGGAATGAAGACATTCTGATTATATATATAGTTAATTATATAGTTATAAATTAGGTAATCAGTGTGCATCCTCTTTTTGTTTCTTAAACCTTAAATAAAGAACACTTTGAGACACTTGGAACATTGACATAGCATGACGTTAGCTCTGCTTAATGTTAAAAGGCCATGTGGGTTTTATTAGAGAGATAAAACATGCATGACCCACTTAGCCTGGGGGAGACACTGAGGACTTCAAGGACCTCTGGACTCCTCGCTTACTGCAGCGGACGTTAGAGACCTCTTTCCTTTCCCTCATAGTTTAGCCTACATTTCGATACTGCCGATTAAAAACTCTGAATTTTAATATGGGCGTTGCAAGTTGGAAGTGCAATAGAGCGGCAGAGGAAAGTTCTCAATGAACCTCACATATCTTCATCTGTACAATGACAACACTCACACTGTAAACTCGTGTTGTTTTCTGCTACTGTAAGTCATGTGGGAGACGACTTAGAGGGGTTGAAATGCTGTCATTTTCAAGGCTATAACCTCAAAATAGATAAGTGACCTAATTCATGGGGGCAAATGTTGTTCGGTGAAGGGACTCTTTGTTGCACTGCTGACTGTATTCAGACAAAGATTGCGGTGAAACGATGAGCAGACTGCAGCTCAACCTTCGAGTTCCACTCACGTCTCCTCCGTCTGCAGCCAGCAGCACTATCGATCTGTGGTTGGTGTTGAGCATGCTAGCATGCAAATATTCATTAATTTACTGAACTGAGGCTGGGAATGAGTTTTGGAGGTATTTTATCCTAAACAAAAAGTATGATAGGTTAAACACAATGTTAGTGATTGTGATTGATCAAATATTAAGGGTTCATCAACGTCATTATCATGAATGAATATCTGTGGCTGTCGTGGCTAAAAGGTAGAATCATGGTGGACAAACAACACGGAAAATCTCCAGGTGCTTCACCGTGATTTCCGTGATACTTCTGATTCCACTAATACACCGTTTCATGCAAGACTCGTAAAATTACTGCAGAACGAATTGTACCTGCAATCTGCTGAAGTGCTGCCAAGCAACACCTGGCGACATGGCAACGTCCCTTTAGCAAGCCAAATTAGTTCAATGGGATCTCTGGGACTTATCTTTTTTATTATTTAGAGTTTGAGGTGATATACTCGGTGAGAGCACTTTAATCAATGAAGAAAGTACAATATTTAACAAGCGGAGATCCACGAGGAACCGATTCGATCCACATGTATCCTTCAACTTCTCAACAACAAAGTGCTTTTTGAATGAGACTCCCTTTGAAGGCTTGCTTGTCCACACTCGCCCTCCTGTAGGGCCACAGTAGTTAATTACCCCTCCTACACACAACCACAAGGGCGACACACTAAAAAGCCTGCAGTCACACTGAAAACACTCGTCTGGCTCCTCCCTGCGTCTTTAACCACGCGGGCAGAAGACATTTTAGCCCTCAAAGGGGGAGTTACAAAATCTGCCTCTTAGTGTAAAAAACACGTTTTTTTCAATTGTTTGGTTTGAAAGGAGCGAGCAGACGGATTTGGAGAGCACACTGGTGGAGTCACAGTCTGAATATAACTACAGCTGCCACAGTGTGGGAGTCAAGCACGTCTGCAGTTGGTGCATTTACGGAGAGAAAAATCTCCAACCTATTTCCCCACGAGCAGTTGACACTGTGGATTGAACTGGATAGCATCCCCGGTCTTTGCAGATGGAAAGGAAAGCTCGGGGTATAAATAAACATTTCTTTGGCACCGTGTTGTTGTTTGAGTCTGTAATTTCCAGGGAGCAGACTACCTCTCCCTGAGATTAACTCCTGTCGGCAGCTGCGTCTGATGAACACAAAAGGCCATGCCGATGAAACGCGTTCAGAGCTCTGGAATAGAACGCTTTTTGCTTTTTGCTTTTTGCTTTTTGCTCTTTGAGTTCAGGAGATGGACACCACTCTCGTGTCTAGATGTCAAATATGAAGCTACAGCCAGCAGTCGGTTAGCGAAGCATGAATACTGGAAACAGGGGGAAGCGCCCAGCCTCACTCGGCCTACAGATAACAAAAGAAATGCATTATAGCGCCACCTGGAATTCACCAATTTAAACGTTACACATTGTTTGTTTATTAGGTGCTAAATCTGAAATTAGAGGTGTAAGTGAGATGAATTAACATGGGCCTCCTGTTTGTTCACCAAATGTTGAGCCTAAGGGGCCAAGACAGTTTCCATCTTCTGCAAATGTGACTAATCTTACAAGTTGTTATTTGTTAGTTAGTTACTGTGGCTGGTGACGAAACAAATAGACATTTTGCAAACATTTTTGTCCTTTTAACACTCCGTTTTTTATACAGTTAACAGAAAAAAGGTTATTGCATGTTAACGAGTAACCTTTAATGGTGGGCTTATGGATATCAGTATATGTTTCATGTCTAAGACAATCTTAGCAAGCAGGCTGCTGTTTACACCTGCAATAACAGTAGTTTCTTTCCAGTTTCTTTACCATAATTAACTTAAATTAACTTTAAAAAATGTAATCTGCCAGTCTCTAACTGTGTCTCTGTGCTGTTTGCTGCTGAGCAGTTAGTGTGCAGCAGGGTTTTAAGCACCAATGACGCCTTTGGTGCTGTGAAAATAAATCAAAAACAGTAAGTTTGGGACCGACAGCCGAACATCAGCTACAACTAACTAATCATGAGTTCAGAAAAGTGTTGTTCCAACAATATAGCGTCTGATAAAGGCCGATGAATGACGGTTCCATTTGTCTTTTGGGGTTAAACACCACCCTCCCGCCTCACGCCCAGTCAGTCACATTGCTCACATACAGTCGCACTGCACCCCTCTGCCTGCCCTCTAGCAGTTGGCACCGTGTTGTCATCTCAGGCTCTCAGCTGTTACCATAGCGCACCAGTGACTGGACCAGCAGCTGCCGGTTACCGCGGCAACCTACTGCACCTCCTTCTATGTCATTTACCGATTGGAGCATCAGGATATCGAGGTGAGGATAAAACATATGGCCTTTTAAAATATTTAAATTCCCTTATTTCACCATCTTATGATGAAATATGTTATACATCTCATCGGCCTTCAATTTAACATTGACATAGAGACTAAATGGTTGTCATTTACTTTACCCAGTCAAAAAATACATGAACACCTGAAAATGTAATCATGCAGGCACATACCTTTGTGAGGCAGCATTTCTTTAATAGTCTGTGTATGTAAACATGTGACATTTCCCTGAAAGCTTCATACTGGAAGCCAGACGGTAGAGTCATTGCGGCAGAAGGACTGCTTTGGCTCATAGAAACCTGGACAAACAGAGAGCAAGTAGAACTGTAGGTTGTCTCACCTGGAGTCATATCACATAACTGAGACTGCTCAAGTTTCTCTCCCCAACAGCCAGAGAAATAATATCACACAAATTGGGGGACCGGAAATACTCCCACCGAAGAATTACTTGTGCATGATTTCTGACTGGACATTTAAAACCAAGTTGACCTTTATAAAATAGGACAGCAACCAGTTACAGGGGAGTTGCTCTCCTCTCTTGCTCCAGGCAGTAAGAGACCAAGATGGATGTTCAGTGAGAGTTCTGGTCTCCTACTAAAATCCCTGTATTCCTGTGGTGGTCCAATTAGCTGCAGGCCAGAGAGAATGCTTTTTTGGTGCCACTTTTGTCAATCCCCTGCTAGAGGTCACATCTTGGCGTGACATAAATTGGTATTGCACATTGTCTTCCTTTAGGAAAACCATGGCTATGTAAAAAACAAACAAAAAGAAAACATGTCAAAGGAACAATGGTCAAATTTATCCGTGACATCATTTGTGAGGTTTTTACTGTAACAGATGCACACCGGGCTTACTGTTGTACATCATTATAACCAATAAATAGCCACAAGTCAACAAGAAGGCTTCACTCTAGTGAACCCCCACTAAACTTTACTACGGTGCCTTGCATAAGTATTCACCCCTTTAACGTTTCTGCATTTTGTCCTGGTACAACCACAGATTCAAATGTATTTGGTTAGGATTTTATGTAATGCACCAACACAAAATAGATCTCTGGGAAAGTTTACATGGATTTTAAAATCATTTACAAATAAAAATGTTATAAGTGAACAGGGTTCTACCAAGTATAGACTGAGGAGGGGGGGTGGTGAATAGAACCAACAGAACCTTTTTGTTCTCATTATTGTTTATGTCACAATAAAATGTGATCAAATGGGACTTGATTTCCTGTTTGTATCGGTACAAAATGGGAAAAAGTCCAAGGGGGAAATACTTACGCAAGAGACACTGGATGTGTGTCGAGGAGCATAAGTCATAAAATATTTATAAAATTGTTAAAACAAATCAACAAAGACAAACATTGCCTTTTTTTACAGAATTTCCCTCCACTTGATAAAGTTTACCTTAAGTAATAAGCACATGTGTCTTTATCATATAAAATCAAAGTCTACATATTAGCATGAATGGATCGATTCGCTCATAAGGAACAAGACTATTCAATAAAAAGCGAGGCGGATAGGGTTAAAGGAAAAGTCCTAGGCAGCTACGGGGAGTTACATTATGGTAAAATGTTGACATTGTTGACGAATTGATGTGCTCCTACTTCTTCTAAACCTGCCTCATTTACATGTACTTAAGTCAGCAGTTTCTTGCATATGCACACTAAATTATAACAGTTCTCAGAGTAGGGATGCAAATTGTATGCAAATTTAAAGCTGTACAAATAAGCATGTTCTACCAGGGACGAATACGTGTGTGGAAATAACGGCATTTCACACTATAACCACCTCACTGCAGAAGTCAGTATCTCAGCTTTGGTGGGACATATAATTGTGTATGAATGCATGTAATGATTCATCTATAAAGAAACCTTTGCCCTGGATAAATACGACAATCTAGTGTTTATTGTTCACTGTGTTTTAGAGAGCCAAAAGGTTGGAAATATTGTGTCATCATATACCCTGAATTCAGAAACAAGAATATACTTAAATCCCAACAACAAATAATGTCTTGTAAAATAAACATTATCTTTGGATATATCATGGATTTGCTTTTTTTGGCATTACCTGGACCTGGCCTTGTGTAGGCCAATAAGCGTTGTGATATCCTTTCAGTTCTGGACGCAAATACAGCTGTGGACATGGGACGCTCAGCCAGGCCATTACAATCCCGGATGTAACGCCCGAGGCCTGGCGAGGGAGGGTCAACTACCATAGCAGGCGCTGCTATCGCCAAATAGAATCCCTCCCTACAAATACAGTTGACAGGATGCACATTGTTATACAATTGAAGATGAATAACGTAACTAAAGCAATAAATATTGTGTTTTTACTCACAGCAGGACGGCCCTTTTCCCCGGCAGAGGTGTCTGATAGGGACTGTAGGCTCCTGCGCCTGGTAGACGGCTGTCGATGGGAGGAGGGATTCTCTGACTTTTGGATTTGAAGGGGGACACGATGGCCTTGTAGGCGTTCTGGATTAAGTGGTCGCTCACTTCATAGTGGCCTTTAAAATATATAGAATGCCAGATTAAGATACATCAAATTCAGACATTAAAATTGGATTATACTTGATTTTTCATTAGAGAACTTGGAGGTAATTACATGGCGATGGCCTATCTTCGATCTGGAAAAAAGAGTTGTGTCCGGCTTTGGACAGGAAAGGTGATGCACCATCCACTGAAGACCAGCGGTCTCTTCTTCCATAACCTACCTGTCAATACAGAAGAAGACCAAAAAAGGCTCCACATTAACTGCACGATGCACAACACGTTCTCTAAAAGCTACTTGCATGATTCACAAACATACATCATATAGATCCGGGGCTGGAGGTGAATGTTTTGGACCATCCAACCGCACAGCCACAGGCAACCTGAACACACTGGAGGTTCTAAAACTGAAGTGATTTTTGTTCACAAAGGTGCTTGGCAGGTTGTGTGCATATGGTACTGGGAGGCCTCTCCGCGGGTTACTGAAAGCCTGGGAAGTCTATTGGACAGGAAGACAAATCATTCTCAATTGTTTAAAGGTTATTTGGTTTTTGATAGGTTTCAAATAACACTGATAAGCCTGCACATGAAATCAGTTTGAATTACTTGGTTGCCTTCCGTTGCAAAGCAAGGACTTTCAACTACAGTGCTGGAAATTAATCCAAAGCTGTCTGGGCCTGGATGTTCATTCTGAAACAAACACACATAAGTTGGTTTGAAATGTGTTTGGTTTTGGCCAAGGCTGTGTGGTGATGCTGGGTTAGTCCCTACCTGGCAGACGGGTGAAGAGAATATCCTATCTTCACATAGAAAGCCTTTCTTTTGTTGATTTGCCATCACCACACGTTGGTATTTTGTTCGCATTGAGGATGAGGCGGTATGAGCCGGCCTCTTATCTGGATTTCAATTTGTTTAAATCATTAAAAAGTAATATTTATAAGCTGAATAAAGGGTTTTCCTTAGACTCACGCGTATGACCTGGTCGGCTCCTGCCCATGCTTCAGTCGGCTATCACGTTGTAAGTCAGTAAATATTAAGTTATACAAACAATTCGCATTTGGCGTTGTTATGGCGACATAAAAACAGCGCGCGTTTAGATCGGCGCGGTCCATTAGCGCCATCGGTCGGTAACACGGTTGTCCAACAGGCGCTTGATACCAACCCGCCTGTGTTTTCTTTCTACAGATAGCACGATCCATCATGGCGATGCATGCGAAGGCGACTCCACCACAGATCCCGGACACACGCCGGGAGCTCGCCGAGCTGGTGAAGAGGAAACAAGAACTTGCTGTGAGTTCACGTCACGGCAATTCCCTCTAAAAATGAAGGCCGTAATAAATTTGTCGTTTTAACGTGCCGAATTAGTGGTAATTTCAACTTAAATCCTAGCGTTTGTTAGCTGAGGCCTTGCTAACTGCTAAGCTAATTATAGCGGTTGCCAACGTTAGCTACCTCTCGCCCGTTCATTAGAGTGGGGCCGGTAGCTCCTGCTAACGTGGCCAGCTAACGTTACCTTTACGACTATACTGTTAGCAGCGTAGCGCAATGGCCTTTGTCCATCCGTCTAACGTTGCCTTTTAAGGTGATCTTAATGTACACTCAATTTGTACTAGCTTTAATGTTATATATGTAACGTATTGCCATTTTTGCTGCAGCATAAACGACAATACGGCTAATTTATTAGCATAGCTTAAATTTAGCCGCCAGACGGTTGCCGAAGTTCTCGCGATACGTTCGCTCTATGGGCGCATTATACATACGTAACGTAGTTACGTCAGACCAACAACACAAGGGAAATGCATGGGGACAACCCAAGTCATACAAACAGCAGTAAGTCAACTCTTGTAGCAGTTTGACTTGTCCCTTCCTCTCACCCTGTAGCTTTATTCTGCTTTCAAGTAGATCATTAATAAAATCGCAAAATCAGAGTCATGCAAACATTCACTAACACGTTTGTCTGATTATCTGTGCAAGGTGCCCACCAATCCCTCAATATTGATTCACTTTCTCATCTCTTTTTAGGAGACACTAGTGAACTTAGAAAGACAAATATATGCATTTGAAGGCAGCTATCTAGAAGACACTCAGATGTATGGCAATATCATCAGAGGATGGGACCGATACCTCACCAACCAAAAGTAAGTGGATCAGATAAGTTGCAGTGTGACTACCTGCTTAACTCTTTATCAAGTGTATTATAGAGAAGGTAATTAGAAGAATTAAGGGAATTTGTATGATACAAACATTTCCAATAACTCAAGGTTGTGGTGAAGTCAAGATGTGTGAAAAACATTTCCAAACGTCAAAACATTCTTTATCTTGTGACAAGAATACTAGCGTACTTTTGATCTGTTTCTATTCATCTTTTAATTTAGCCCATCAAAAATAATTTCACTGCAGTCAAAAAACTCATACCGACGATTTAGAGTTAGAGAGAAGCTAAAGATTCATATCCAGAGGGATATGTAGACATCAAACGATTCAGAAGGAATATTAGCATATTGATCTGAGCATCGTTTATCAATAGGACCTCTAACTATATTTCTGATATTCCAACAGGAACTCCAATAGTAAGACCGATCGAAGGAATAGGAAATTTAAAGAAGCGGAGCGTTTATTCAGCAAATCATCTGTCACATCGGTTGCAGTAAGTCCCTCTCTCACTGCACCTTTTCCAGCGCTGATTTAGTTAGTCATATGCAGCACGTCAAGACAATAACTACCAATTCACTCCACACTCCGTTTTTATTTTTCAGGCAGTTTGTGCACTCGGTGGGATTCCTGATCACATGAATGAAAAACGTGAGTTTGTTTTTAAAATGATTTTCTACATCCAAGCGGCCCGTTTCTCCGTCATTGTCTTGGATGCTTTCTGAGACTGAATTTGTGCTGATGTTTGTTTCCGGTCAGGTGAGGCAGGCAGCGGCACGGAAAGCGACGCTTCTCCAGATCTCCAGAACCAAGAGAACGAGCCCAGCCAGGAGGACACGGAGGATGTGGACTCGACGCTGCAAGACCTAAAGCCTCAGAAAGCTGCGTCCTCTTCCTCCTCAGGCAGCCATCACGGGAGCCACAAGAAGAGAAAGAATAAAAACAGACACAGGTACTCAATGAAGATACAAGTCGCAGTGTATCATCACGCTGTTTGTTCCCCGCCTGTTTTGCTTTCGGATCCTGGTGATGGAAATCCAATTTCAGTCTGTTAATTACTGCCTAGTATGTTTACATGCACACATGAAACCAGGGTATTGGGAGAAAGGCGCATATCTTAATCCATTTTACATACAGCAGGCCTGGGAATTGGAAAATCTTTGTGGTGCAACAGATCATGAAACTCAAAGTTCAGACCGGGTCACGTTCACCATCCTGATCGGATCAGGACAAAATAAAAAAGAAAGCAAATATAATATATGGATCGATCTATTATTATGGGGGGGTTTTGTCCACCAATGCTAATTGATGATCCATATTTTTTGATTACGTCAGCGGCTCTCCAGACAATTATTTTTTCCCCCCACTGTCCCTAAATCATTTTAACCGCTCAGAAGTCAGTGTAAACTGTGAGCAATACTAAATATTATCCTTTCCCTTCGTTATATGGATTTACGTTTCTTTTCTTAAAGAAGTATACAATTTAAATGGGAAAGGAAATAAAATATTGTAACTTTTAATGATTAAAACAAATATTTTCATTATTTTTAATGAATTATTATTCACAGGTCATAATACGTCTAATATATGTTATGTTGTTGTGTAAACATCCATCAAAAGAACTGTATTTATGCAACTTTCTGACTAAGATTACGTGTGAAGTTGTGAACACATGATACATTAATAGCACTGATTTGCTTTGAACGGTGCCTAAAAGAATTTGGATGGATAACATCAGGAAAGTTTATTTCACACTGCGAGGGTTAACTTATACTGAGCAAATATACCCTTGTGGATGGAATATACACTTAGTCCATGGATGAGATTGCATATTAACCAGATATTGTTATAATTTACCAACAGCCACTGAACAGAGCCTTCGTATGTTTGCAATCAGCGGTGCCTCCACCGTTACCAGTATGCACTGTTCCAGTAACGCTGTATAAACTGGTAACGGTGACATTTATGTTTTGAAGTGTATGTTACACGCTCTCCTCCTGTCAACACGGATGGTTGATTATAATCTAACGATATCATAGGTCAGCAACTACAAAAATCATTTCTGGTTAATGTAAAATGTGTAATAAATCCACAATTCATAGCGAGGGAGAATAGTCCGTTACACCGCTTTTCCCCTGACTTGGTCCTCAGTGTTGTAACCCCGTAATTAACACAGCAGGGTCTCCACCTAACACGCTGACGGAGTGGTTCTCTCTCTAAAGTCCACACTGCACTGTTCTGTAGACTCGGGTGGGTGAATTAACAGCTGCTGCTCTCTTCCTTTCCCTAATGCCGCCCCTTCCTCAGTCCTTCCGCCATGTTTGATTATGACTTTGAGTAAGTCTGAATTTTACTTCCTGTGGTGTTTACATCCCGCATGCTGCACCCCCCCCCCCCCCCCTCTCTGCGCTCGGTCTGCTTCTGTCCACCTTTTGAGTTTAAGCCTGCTAGTTATTCAGTATACTGCATGTCCAACACTTCCATCCTTTGACTGCATATCTACATTCAGCACTCTGCTCGCCATTGGACTTTCTTGCTTGTTTTCGGGGTGTTTTCGTGTCTTTCTGGCCTCAGATTGTGCTTCACCAGTTGGAGAAAACATTGCTAGTTTGGTCAGATGTTTGGCTGGCTGCAGGTTTGTGCACAAGCAAGAACAAACCCATCCAGTGTTCTTGTCATCCGCTTGTCTCGAGGCGTCTTCGTCATATAGTAGTGGTGTTGCTTTTTTCCATCAAAACCAGGTTCACGATCAGAATATGATGCAGCCTTTCTTTGTTTTTGTTGCAGATTTGACATGAAGGTTAACAAGAAACCTCGAGCTGTAAGTGGAGTTATTTTTGTTTTGTTTATACAGTAATTCTTGTATTTGTTAGAACTCAAATGATTGTATTTATATGCCTTACAAGTGGTGATTATTTCTAGATGAATGTTGTACGCACAAACAGACAGACGGCATCTTCCAATGTCGGTTTCATCTTTTCTTAAAAGGCAACTGTTCAAGCCATAATCACATAATCAAACTAATCACTGATGCATTTTCTTGCAAAGGATTTGTCTATTCATCATTGCAGCTCTGACTGCGCTCGCTGCCTCTTATTTCAATAACCACCATTATTCGTCACCTGTCTTCCTGCAGGACTATTCAACTTAACAACGACAACTGGAACACCTGGACTCACATGTGGGGGAAACCTGTAGAGAAACTCTAAATTTGTGGACTTCATGAACTTTGTATGCCTTTTTCTTTTTCCTTTTCTCCTTTTTTTTTTTTTTTTCCTCTCTCCGGTTGTCATATTTCAGCCTGTACCGTGTGTATTGCTCCAAACATTCCCCACTGTTTCCCACCTACCCTTTGGTCAAGGTTTCGATTTTAACCTTCCAAGTAGAAATATGGTGTTGCATGTTACTTCTGGCCCGACGAGGCCAACTGCTAGTAACACACCGTTTTGTATAGTATTAAAAAAAAAGATTGTATTTATTATGTAGTTAACTTACCATTGTACGACGGTTATGTGTTTTTGTTTTTATAAGCATCACATAGACGCTCAACCCTTGAATAACCCGGATTCTTTTATTACATGGTTGTTTTTGCAAAAAATAAACTCGAATACAAGCAAAAAATATGTTTTGGTTATTTATAATTTTAAAAAAATCACTCCACACTTACTGGGTGGTGAGGCGGCTGGTAATATAATAAAAACTACACATCGTTGTTGTTTCTCCTGTCAATCCCTGGCAGATGCATGCCTGAAAAAACAACATTGAGCAGATGTTGGATGGAGTTCCCACACATACGGTCCATAAAAAGTTATCTTGTGTAATAGTTTAGTCCAAACAGAATCCGTGTTTACCCAGCGAATAGTAGAGAGTTTAGGCAGCACATTCTCTTCTGTCAGTTCTCAGCTTGTTTGATGAAACAATTACTAACGTAAACACAGCGCACAAACCGTGGACAGCATCATGCTTTTTACACAATGGTCAACGAAGGCCAAAGTTCCAGCTTTTAACATGGTTCAGGGAGCATGAAGTGTCCCGATTGGTCACCAGGCTGCGCCAAAACATGGCTGGCTGTGCATCTGTGAATTACGATGAAGCACACAGCCAAGGGGAGTCGTAATACTCGTCGCACCACTTTTGATCTTACCAGTAGTGCTAATAATTCATCTGGAATGTTTTTGTGTGGTTGGACATCCCGGCCACCGAGATGTCTCCCAGAGACTGATCGGCTTCCAGCTTGTCTTTTTCCATTTGGATGTTTTACACCAAACCTGAACCCATTAGTCACCACCGGTCCACAGTATCGCCGCGTGGAGGGACGGAGAGGAACCAGAGCTGCTGACAAACTCCTGATGGGGCGGCAGGCTGGGAAGAGTCCCTGCCTGGAATGGACCCGTGGTTTCAGGCTCCATCCCACAGTCGATTGCGTTGGGTACTGATGACACAGTGACGGTTTTTACTTCTCCAAATGTATTGCAACATCTGTACGATGATTGTGTTCCCTAAACGAATGAATCCTGATGACATCAGAGATCTCATGCACTGTTTATAACCTGTCGATGATCCATTGGTTCACTACTCCATGGCTTTGGTGATCACCTAACCGCTTGGAGGTCAAAGATTTAACTCGACATCTACCAAATGTATTGACGAACACTAGAGCTACACGCCATATTTGACCCTTTTCACTACTTAATCGCCAAGTCTGTTTCAAATGGGCCTTTGCTTCTTTAAATAGTTTGTTGATTCCTAACTTGTTGGACATTTACTCCGGTTTGGAGACACACTGCACCTTGTAATCACCGCGTCCCCTCCCACGTCTCCGCCAGCCCTCTCGTTGCTGCTGTGCGTGTGACTGGGACCAGGTCTCCTGTCAGACCGCCACTCACTCACACGTCACATTCTGTATCGCAGACTACGTAATGCGATCTGGCTGGAAACTCACGCTCTCACCAGAACACATTCCACACGTGTGAGTCATGTGTTTTCCGTTAAACAGCAAGTCTTTGTCTCGTGTCATGTTACGTCAGGACGGGGGTGCGATTTTGATTTCACAGGTTAGGGAGGCACAGTTTTCAGCACGGGCCCAAATCCACAAAAGGACTCCAGATTCCAGATAGACGTACAAACCTGTCTGTTCATCATTTGGATAATGATGGTTGGAAGAAAAGTATTTCATACAGAAAATTCAGGCAAAAAAAGGGGCTCAAAATGATCCATGTGTCTTCACTATTGGATATTATGGATTTAACTTGGTTTGGATTTGCACTACTGGTGCCGTGATATCTCTCCTACACCGCCAAACAAAATAAGATCAAACTCATATTACCTATAAAACTAAAAGAAGGCCGTTTTCATGGCTTATCATTTTTCACACACGTACACCTATTAAAAATAAGTCATCTTTACTTCTGGTCATACGTATGATGGTACCTGTTGGCACAGTTCAGCCCATTAAATTGATTGAGGAACCATTGTACAAAAACAATAAAGCTTAGTTTACACTTGTAATGGTCGCAGTGGCGTGAGGCTTTGCAGGGCGGCGAGGGAGCTCCGACTGCACGCAGGCGTTTATTGTCTGCGTGTCGTTCGTCGCATTGTGGCCAGAATACAGGATGAAGAAAATGAACGAGCGTGAGCCAAAGACTGTTTGCTAACCGGCAACGAGCTATTAAGACAACCGTCACAAATTTACAATATCTGTAAGTCACATCTCATGTTCGTGGACTACTTTATTGTCTTTGTACAAACACAGTTACGTATTGCATGCAGTGAAAGAAACAGAGGTTGAATATTCTTCAAACAATTGGATTTGGCTGGAAAAAGGAAAATACTGAAATGCTTTTAAGAAGTCAATGAGTTGCCCTTCTTCTTTATAAGTTAACTATTTATGACAGTCATATGACAATATGATATAAAAGAGTCAAAAAATATATAGCTAAGTGAAGGGTGTTGCATGCCGTACGCATGACATCATTTCATAGTGTATTTAAAATGTCATAGCATATTGCAGCATAACAACAAAGCATTTAATGAAGCCTCTCGAAGAAGTAAAAATGTGATTCTATAGACTGATGGAAAAGGTTACAGGATGTCAATAAAGGTCCATCACTAAACACATCGGTTGATGCAATTGCTAGGACACTAAAGTATATGTGAGACGATCTCCCAAAGTTACACGTTAGTTAGTTTAGTGTTGCTTTTTTAATGATACTGCAATTTCCTTTCTCAGGGTTACAGCTTCGAACGCAGCCAGGTGAGAAAGAATATGAGGATCCATCGTCACAGTCAACGGTTTTAATTTCAACCAACCAAACAAATAGCGTGAATCAAAAATGGTCCTCATGCTTCTAAAGGTACCACAGGGAAAATCCCTCAGAAACATAATGTCTTGTGTAAATTCCTGTAGGACTGTAGGCAGTCCGAGCTTCAGGGGCCGAAGCTTTCTTTCATCTGTGGTCACTCGGTCGCTGTGATGTCGTCTAATTACTTTAACAGCCTCCTGCAGCAGAGTCCCGGTCCCCGGCCACTGAGCGGGATGACGTGAAACCTTAAAACGTTCAGTGAGGAGCTGCGACCCCCCCATCCCTCCTCCTCCTCCTGGGACCAAACAAGACTCGCTCGCCGACAACAAGGTCAAACATATTTCAGGAAGAGTCATGGGAAAAGCTCGAGCAGATCACGGCACCGCAGGGTGCCTTTATGTTTCATCTGGAGTTGATCTCGTCATGAGAATTTAATGGAGTACAAAGAACATGCTTGTTGCACCGAGTCAACACTTTTACACTGAGTCATAAAAGAAGATCAAAAGCAGGAAAGTCACAGGAGACTATTTCACTTCTCGACAGCGACATTTCCCAGTTCACGAGGGAGCACCGGGGCGCCTGTGGAGAGACGAGCGGCCGCGTGTTCACATCAGCACCTGTCGGGCAAATCCAAGTCCATATTTCCTACTTCTTCATATATTATTTTTTAAGAAAATAATATGAAATTTTTACTTACTATGAACTTTAACTTTGAATTTAGACTTTAGACTTGCTTGTTTTATGGAAAAATGTCCCTTGTATCGGGGTTTCTGTCTCCTCGCCCCCTCCCAACGTGAGCAGCAGCCTGCCAGAAGATCAGCACAGAGGTTCTCAATTGGAAATATTTACGTTTTTCTTTGTGGGAAACGGTGTGAGGGTTTGTTAAGGAGATTGTGGAGAAAGCTTTTTCATTGTGCATCAGCAAAAAGGAATGTTTAGTTTGCACTGCTTGATACGCCTCAAGAGATACTAAGACGTTTGTGTGGCTGGATAGTTTGTGTTCTAAGAAAAGCAAAAGGCACAGTATGGATTTAAACATCCTCCTGTACATTAAATAACCGCTGAAGCGTGATTTGTGCATTTGTTTGCGAGTTGTGAGTGTATTTATAGTAATGATAAGCAGCAGGGAAGCTATTTTGTAGGCTAACTGACACTAGCTGCGCATCATGAAATGTATTGTGCATGTTTATATGGACAAATACTCTGCTGATCAATTAATTTATACGCTACTCTTTTTTTTATTACATCTATTATTATTATTGTATGTACGCTAGCAAAAACACGTTTAAGCTGAAAAGAAAACTAAATATACAATACTTTCTCAAAAAAGTAGTGGGAGAAGAAGAAGGGCAGCTTTATATAAACTGCAATATTCTTTAAAAAGTAGAAATACATTTGCCAAGCGTTGGTTATAACATTCAAACTTTGGTTCTGTCTAGCAGTCATGAAAAAACGTTTAGATAAATATGTAATTGGTTGTATATTTCATTTAGTCTTTGGTGTGCAAAACGTTTCTTTTTAAAAACAGGTCAAACACATACATCAAGATATTTCTGCAGATCCATACAAACATTTGAATGTGCTGATGGGAGATTTGGCTTGTAAATTCTGAGCTTTGCATCGGCTCCACACCGAGTGGAACGCCTGTTTGTGCCCCATGCTGAGGTGTAGCGCCTCTCTGCTGCTGCTGCTGTGTGATGTGCGCTGCGGGCGTAGCCGGCGTGGGTCAGTCGTCGTTGTTGCAGTCCGTGCACAGGATCTGGTCGCGGTCGGGGAAGAAGCCGGAGCCCACCAGCGACACCGAGCAGCGCGAACACTTAAAGCACGGCTGGTGCCACTGCCGCTCCTCGAATGACACGTACTTCCCATCGCCAAAACCTGGGAGACGCGAAAAGAAAACATGAGCAACTAATGAGGAAAATCATATACCAGGCAGGCACAATTTAAAAAAAGAAGGAAATAGCACATTCACTACAGTCCATTAATTCAAGATAGCATCAGCAGTTGGCAGTAACAGTTCAGTGAACCTGCTGCTATTATAGTGAAACACATTTAATTACAGTTCTCCTTCAGCTCCGGCGAGTTTTCTCTGCAGCTACGACAAAGAGGTGAGACAGAGAGGATAATGCAGCTCGCTCGTTTGTCCTGCAGTCCTTGATCGTTGCGTCTTTACGTGGGACGTGAACTCATTCAAATATACCGGCTCCCGGCTGAGGATCTCTACCTGTGACTTAAGAGCTTCTTTTTTTTGCGTAGGTGAAACCAAATTTGTCTCGCAAACAAATTCGCAGATTTGACTTGACGAGCAACAACTGAGCGTCTGAGACAGACGGTGAACACGGGAACATTTCCAGACAAACTGATGTCAGAAACAAAAGTATGAACCTGTAAATGAACATGATATATATCCGCGGTGACGTTCTTGTTTCCCTGTTTATTTAAATGTAACGTGTACAGTTTGTATGGACTGTACATCAGCATTTTGTTAGAATAATAATTAGACAATCGTGGTAAAAAATGGTTCAGTCCCGGGTTTGTTTTCGGCAAGCCTGGTGGCTTGGAGACCAAACACTTAGCTAGAAGAAGAGGGAATGTTGGACTTCTGATCATTAGGTGGACACAAACATGTCTCAAAATGAATTACTCCAACATTAAAGGTGAATAATTACCTCTTCTCTCCTCATAACAAAACCATTTTCTACTGCTGCAAATCACCATGAAAGCTTTACAACACGGCGTGACTTTTATTGTGAAATGCCTTTTCTTTGGAAAGGCTGACTCACTCTACTGCCTCCACCTGTTTGTCAAAGATCCTTGTTTTGACTTTCGATCGACGGCAGACAGTCGAGACGTACAAGGAGCACCGTGAAAACGTGGAAGACGATGAGCGAACTGATGCCGCGGGGGGGGGCGACTACTTTTCACCGACCTGTGATGGCCGTGTTGCAGCCGGCACACTTTTTGGCATAGAGGCTGCTGAAACACTTGACGCAGTACGGACTCTCCCCCTGCGAGGTGAAGGGTTGGCCAGCCAGCGGCGCCTTGCAGCCCGTGCAGAGGAAGCACTCTTTGTGCCACACCTCGTCCTTGTAGGTCACGCCTCCTTTAGTCAGAGCCTGCGGCGCACAAACACAAAAACCCCGTCAGCGGCGCGTGACGACTAAAACTGCGTGTTTTAGTTCTGAAGATCAGCAGCAATGGCTGGATTTGCAGATGGACCAACACACCTTTTTGCAGTGGCTGCACTGAGGAGCGACCCTGCCCTCGTAGCACGGCACGCAGTAGTAGTTGTCGTTGTCTGGGACGAAGGCTTCGGCGCCCATTGGCTTCAAACAGCCGTGACACGCGAAGCAGTCCTCGTGCCACGTGGAGCCGCCGTACTCCAGCATCCTCGACCCTGTCACGGGAAAACGTCTTTTATTAAATGCCCCCCCCCCCCCCGATGACGAGGTCTGTGATTGGTCATATAATCCAGACACGGGCATTGGCAAACACATGCGTCACGTGGGACGTTCCTCTGATCTCTGCCGTCCTGTAACCGTGAAGTGGAAAGAAATGTGATAGATTCAGCGTGACGGATGAACCTGTTTCTACACAGCCGCCCTGCTCCGAAGAAGATGTTCTTCTGTAAAGAAAGTCGGAGAGTCGGTCATACGTCTGAGCTGCTTTAAACATCGGCCCGTTTTAGTCACTCGCAGGACCTGAGCTGCACACCAAATGCACGGCAGCCTATTAAACTTGAACTTGAGCCACACGTTCAAATGCATCCCAGGCCGAGCGGGACCTGAAGAGAAAAAAACGCTCAATTTAGAAAAGGGCCGTTGGGTTGTGAGATCCCACCCGACCCGCAGGCCGGGGTGATTTCCAGGCATCCGACACTGCTGCTGCTGCACCTCGTGTCCTCACATCGGCCGCAGCTGAAAACCCCCCGCCGGGAGATATTTTCAGCTGAGCTAGAAAACAATCACCCCGTCCCGTCTGAGCCGCCACACACCCCCGAAACACAGGAGCTCGTCGGCCTCTTAGTCCGGCGCAGACGGGGGGTGTGAGCCGTCTGACTGTTTCGGCCATTACGCGACGATCCGTCCCAGAGGAGGTCGGTGAACCTGGTGCTGGGGGGACAAAAGGGATGCAGCGGAGCTTCTTCTCGGGCGTCACTACCTGGCATGACCGTCTTGTCGCAGGACACACACTTGGAGGAATACTCGTTGCAGTAGCAGTCGCTGCACACCAGCGCGTCCTCCTGGCTGGTGAAGGGCTCGTCTGCCAGAGAGCGGTCGCAGCGGAAACAGCGGAAGCAGTGCGCGTGGTAGTGTCTGTTCTCATAGAAGAGTTCCTGGAGGAGGAGGAGGAGGAGGAGGAGGATGTAAGGAAAGCGATTCTGATCACGCTCAACAAGCTGAATCCTTTTCAATGTGACCTTTGAATCCTGTCTGACCGAACGCATCATTGTCCACGTCAGGAGGCTAATGAGCCCTTTGTCCTTTTAAACGGAGACATGCAAAGATAATATCTGCAAGAAGCAACCAGAGGACGGATGACCAGGCCAGGGTTTGAACAGAGATAAAGAAAGTAAAATAGAGAAGTAAAAAGGTTGTCAAACATATCACCCATTGTATTGTTGGTCCTCTAACAGGATTTGTTAGATAAGACGAACATAAATGTTTTACAAGCATTCTATCATTTTACCCAAAACTGTGATAAAACACTTGATCTGGTATTGTTCCTCGCGAGGAGGTTCTCTATCCGCTGCTGCCCCATCCGCTTAGAGGTCAGAGGTCACGGTTGATCACAAGACTCCATTTTCTGTATTTTGGATGTTTGCCGACAGTCAAACATGAAGTTTCCTTCTTTTCACGACGTCCCGCTGTCCTCCAAACAGCGGATTTGAGTGTCAGAGACGGTTGTTTTTCACATAAAGAATCTGAATAACCCACTTTGTGACTTGTGTTTTTCTTCCGGTTCATCTGCAGGTCAGAGAGCTCTGTGATGAAAGGCTTCATTGAACGGTGAAAAACGTTTTTATTTAAGGCGTGCAGTTCCACAGTAAAAAAAAAAAAAAAAAAAAACTAACGCAGAGGAATGGAGAAGGAAGAAAGATTACTGTTGTTATGTTTTGTGCAAGGGAGGGACGGCCAAAGCAAGCAGGAGCATAATTTACTGCAATTTCTCACAGGGAGCCCATAATTCACACGACACTGGTGGCCTCATGGCGTCTGTGGGCGTTTTCTCCAACTAAGGATTTACGTAAATTAGAGGGGATTACAGACAATTTGGTGTTTTCAGAGGCAGGTTATCAAGGTACGCCAGCCGGTTTTCAGAGAGGCTTAGAAAACAAAAGGAGTTGTTACTGAGGCATTTTTGTCACGGACAGTATCATGATATTCTTAAACATTATTTCAATATTATTACTGATGTATTATCATCTAGCAGCAGTTTGCCTGGTTGAGTTCCTTTGAAATATTGCATAAACTCTCACCTTATGTTTTAGTAATACATACTATTGTTGATGGAGCTGAAACAATTACTCATTCAAGAGAAAATCCTTTTTTGGATGGTTAATTTATTAAAATTAAAACTCTTTGCTGTTTTTATCTGTTTAAAGCCATTTCAGCATCATCTTCAGGATTTGTACACGAAAAGAACGGATTTGAAGACATGTTCTTGAACTTTGGAAAAATAATTATCAATTCCCTAATTCATAAAAGCATTGCCAAGATTAAATGACAAGACATCGTGCAATCTAAACCTCCATCACTAACTAACTCACGTCAAGTCTGTGGAGTGTGGCAGCTACAGCCTTTCCCTCTGAGCAGATAACCAATAATGACTGTACAACAGAAGGGTGGGTGTCCTTGTACTTGTACATCTACTTGTACCTGTAGAGCTCACCTTGGCATTATGGCCGATGATTTCTTTGCATTCCTCGCAGGTGTTGGCGTACAGGCGGTCGTAGCAGGGGATGCAGTGAGGGTGGTCCTCCACCTGGATGTACTTGCGTCCGCCCAGGGACTCGTTGCAGTTTTTGCAGTCGAAGCGCTCACTCATGATGTCTTACTTCTGGCTGAGAGGATTAACAGGCACAGTTTAGCGTTCACTTTCAGCAAGATAGACAGCGCAGGAAGGAGGAGCGAGATTAGCAGGACAGGAAGACAGAAAGCAGGAAGAAGGGAGGCAGGCAGTTTCTGAATGTAGTGTACGGCTGGGGATAAAAAAGAGCCACAGCTGTGTTAAAAATTGGGAGTGAAATAAACACAAATTTTAGCGCACTAAAAAGAACACCCAGTGACACTAAACCCCCCCAAGTTGAAAAGATAATTTAACAAAAAATACAAAGTTCAGTACAAGACATTACATCCAACAAAACACTTGTATAATAAAACTGTGAGTTTGAGTCTTTACCAAAAACCATTAAGGATGTACGGAGGTTCATTTAGGACTTTGAATAAATCACCCTCAATAAATCTATGGCAGCGGTTGAGTACGGATGCGATGAACACATGGATCAAAGTGTTCCCAGGATGGATGGACTAAAGCAATACGTTTTGTTAATGAGATTCAGTTAACTGTGCAAGAGCTGGCTGGCTTTCACAGCTACACTTTGGCTGCGCAGTTGTTCAGGGTGGAGCGAGTTGCAGTAGTAGTGGAAGTGGAGACAATGAAGACGAAGGATGTTATCAAAGGGGGGGGGGGGGCTGTAGGGTAATGAAAGGTGGAGGTCCAGCAGTTAAAGCCCGGAGGACACCTTGGTGTTGGTGCAGGAGGAGCATGTTTTGGATATCTGTTTATTGATTTTCTATTTTTACCCACTTTTCTCACAGTACACGGTGCACCTTTCGAGAAACACTGTTGATGATGGTGATGAGGGCAGAAACAGGGTTGGGATGACTGGCGCCTGAGAGGAATTCTATTCAGATGAGCCTTCAAAATGCAAAAAAATGTACGATCACCAAGAAACGTCATACTGCAGTTAACAGTCAAATATTATTTCAATTTGTTCCATGAGAAAAACATGGCCTGCCAGCGGAGAAAGAGCCCATTGAACAATAACAGATTTATTGTAATTCAGGCCTGTGATGATAAAACCGATTCTCCTTTTTCCTCATTACTCCCCAAAAAGTGAAAGCTTTGCTCATTCCTGAACGAAACCCCCTGCGACAGTTTGGCATTGAGAGAGAACAACTAAACAATATGAATTGTCTGCGGCTGCATTGAAACAGCGCTCTCCATTTCAAAAGCTCTTTTGTGGGCTTTTTCCTCTTTGTTCGGCCCGTGTTTAAAGTGCAATTGTAGAAAAGAATTTCTCCCTTTTACAAACAAAATAATAATAATTACACAACCTACTGCCGGTCAAATGTCCTCACTTGTCCGTAGCCTCTATAAAGATGAAGCATCTCAAGAGTCAGTTTACCTTGAGAAGTGGCCTCCTTATATGTCATTTAAATAAATGACTTTGGCTCTTGGGCCAGAGGAAGGAGAGGTGGAAATAAGGCTGAGCACACTGACAGTAACATCACCTCCCGTTGTTAACCAGCACAGCGAGGCATTAGCGGGGTACGTGACCCCCCCCGTCCCGCAGCAGCGAAGGGAAATGAGCGAGGAAATGAAGTGTGGGAGGTTAAAACGTCCTCCTGTGGAACGGCTCAAGTGGCAGTGGGTGAAGGCTATGGATGAGGAGAAGGAGAAATGTTCACGCTCACAACGAAGCACTTAAACATTTCACTTGGAAACGGTAATTGTTTGTCATTTTCTCTCCCCTATTTTGGTCACAGGGGGGGCTTTGACTTGTTTTTATAGTGTCAGAAAATGGGAGGTGCGGTTCAACAAAGTGCAGCCGAGAAACCGTGTGGCTTTGAAATCTCCCCGAGGGATCGAGGAATGAGCCGAGACCCCCGCCCCGCACCCCCCAGGAGGACGTCACTGGCCCGGCCTCAACCATGAAAGGACACAGGGCTCGTTGCTAACCGATGGAGGCCACTTGTTTTCTCAGAAACGTATTTTGCGCTTTGCGCCGTGAGGCTGCTTAGAATTAAATCACGTCACGTTTACATTTCCAGGTACCGCGCCGCACGGTCGCCGACCTCCAAGTATTTTCATCTGGCCGGCTGAGGGAGTAATCGTGAAAGTGCAGTTTACATTCCTCGTGTCTGACTACGATCAAACAGTTTGTTTCAAATAACCAATGATGCAGCAATTCCAGATAAACACAGTGTGCCGACGCCAGAAGCAGAAACTCCTTCTCTGCCGCAGGTCATTTGTAGACCTTTTCTCACTTTTTCTCACACTGTTAGCGCAGTACGGGGGGGGGGGGGGGACATCGCTCATGCATCGCTGGCTGCAGATAACTGCACCGCTTCCTCTTGAAGGGCATCAAGCTGGGTCAAGAAAACAAGGAGGACCAAACCGAGCCCAGAGAAATCATCACATCCGACGTCTGCTTTCTGTCGGATCGCTGTTTTGGTTGCTGGAAATCAGCACAACTTCCCTCCTAAAACGTCCAAAGAGGTTGGGGGTTCTATTCTCGTCCGTCCATGTCTACAAAGACCGCAGTGGCTAAACAATGGTTTTCCTTCCGGACATAGTCTTCCCAGTTTTGGGCTTCGTGTTTCTCTTCCTGAGCCCCAACATCTGCGAACAGATTCTGTGGTCCCCAGCTGTTGTCTGTCATCAAAGTCTCCTACAGGCGTCGGACAGGGAGTTCTTATGGGACTCCAGCCCAAACACAAAGGCATCTCATTGAAAGTACATGGATGTTTTATGGTCCCTATACAGCAGTCCGTTATAACTTTACAGTGAGCTATAAAAAGGGGAAACATGGTGGGACGACACAATTGAGTGAGAAACTGGGCGTTAAGCATGGAGCAGCATTAGCTTAGCTTTGTGTGCACAGCTTTCACCAAGTACGACAAAATACCTGGAGCTTACTTTTAACACATTATAGGTTTAATCCAAACAGCTTTGCGAAAGGATTAAACAAACATTAATATGCGTTCATTAGCGAGCGTTTAGGTGGTCGGTGGCAGGATGAATCCACACTTTCAAATGGCTCGTATCAAATCAAGACCCTTCAGACCAAACGACTCTCCAATGTTTTGTTGTGCGATGTTGGAGCAGCACCGTTCACTAGAAGCCTGCCAACCACAGTCACACAAGAGGGAGAAGATTTGAAATTGATCCGCACGCTTCCCAGCTGACTGCGCGTAAACATCTGTTGTGAATCGGCTCATCTGTCCCTCAACACTGTCTGACACTAACTGTCTGACTCACCGACGCACATTCAGCCCCCCGTCGACGAGGCGTTCGCGTTACCCATCAGGTGTCCTCTTGGATCTCACCCAAGACTACCGGTCGCCCCCCGTTCTTCTCCTCCTCCTCGGAGTGAGACATTGGACCAAACACTCGTCCATCCTGTCTGAGACGCTATTCAAGCGCACAATTCACCCTGATGAGTCCTCACCCCGATGCGCTGAGAGATTAACAGGGCAAAGAGAGGTTTGTAGCGGCGGCCAAGCGGCAACCGTCGGGATCGGGCCTCTTGCCTCATGTCCCTTCATGGCTCGCTGCTGTTATTTTACACCTCAACAACCTGGATAGTTTCTTACGACGCCGCCAGAAGCTCTCTGCAGGCCATGGGAGCCGCTGGGTGTTACTGTTTATTTTCCCCCGGGGAAGAGTTTAGACTTCACGTCTGAGGTTTACTAACCAGATTATTCCATGATGAAAACCTCTGTCACACGTAATTAAGTTCAGTGGAACAAAATGTGTAGGTGAGCGTTAAATCACGCACAAAATACTCATTCAAGTATCGTGAAACAGCCTCAACGCCTTTTTTGGAGGGAGGATTACAGAAAGAAAGATCACATTCCCTCTACAGGCCGTTTCCATATAGTGTTGTTGTAACGTCGACTACAGATCCGAGCCTTTACTGTCAGGGAAAACAGCGATGCAGCTGAACAGGAGACATTTTAGCCGAGCTCCATGAATGGAAACGTCCCTCCATCCGACGGAAACCGCTCAACAACTATTACGTGGATTGTCATGAATAAGGTTAAAACATTCATGGTCTCCAGATGATGTATCCTAATGAGTTCATAAATCCTCTGACTTCTCCTTCTGGCACCAGCATGTGTGACTGAAATACCTCTGGAGATTTGGCTCCTATTTGCTAATGAGTTTAATGTTTAACCACTAATGAAGTATTTCTTCCAATTACAGGCTGATGGTTTAGTTGTCTTGATGCATTGACGTAGAATCACTGCTTCCTCAAGCATCATATGACCCAAACTCACATTCAGGTAAAAGAAGAACGTGTGAGATTACGAGAGCATAATCCTGTGTGTAGACAGCAAGAGGAGGCCTGCAGCATCAGTGGGAATAGTGACGCTCTTATGGATGCAGCAGTCAAATGTTGCAGAAAACGGAAAAAAAAACGGAAAAGGGAAGAAAACACTGTGATGAGTGCGAGATGACTGCGCTCCCTTTCATCCACAGTACAAAGACGCTGAATTCTGTGCTGCTTCCTGCAGATCACAGGGCCAATTTCAGCCCACACAAATCAACGCAAATACACACTGTATATTTTCTGTATATAGCTTCTTTTTGCCTCTTTAAACAACGAAGGTGTTCTGACGTGTAACATATTTTGGTTTCTCGAACATGAAAAATCACTTCCTTATAAGGTAAAACGAGTGTCAAAGACTCAATTGTTTAACAAAAAGGCTGTGCGTTATTTTATAACACGGTCAGTATCGTTCGTATTTAGCCTTTAACGTTAGGGACTTTAAAGACAGCAGGCGTGTCTGCTTTTGTTTTATGGGTCTCCGGGCAGCTGCTTGTTTGTCCAGTGAAACAATGTGGGCCGCAGCTGCAGTTTCTCCTCTGCTGCTGTCAACGGAAGTGACAAACAGATCAGCGAGATCAGTCAACAAGTAAACAAGTCACCACCATGCGAGTCTTCATCACACGTTGACCTGACGCGTATTCGTTCTGAGGATGGCCGTTGCCAGATGATTGCTGAGGTTCAGAATATTCAGAAAGCAACTGAGAACTTTTATCAAATACTTTTTTAATACTGTACTGTTTGGCTTCCGCCGACTTCTAAAAATACTTTTTTAATGTTCTTTGGGTAGAAAATGTAAGACATTTGAAGTTCCTCGACAGAGAAACACCATCCAAACTCTATCAGAGGAACCTTTATTTATTTAAGCACGTTGCAGTTGACAATTAACTGTAATTGGATTAACCGGAAATTGACTCCACTTCCCCTCTAACTAGTATCATATTGAATTTATCAAAAATGATGTTGACTTTTAACACAGGATGAAGATCAAACAGTCTTTGGGTTACAAGCAACCGCGCTTAGTGAATCGCTGTCCTACGGGACACAGAGTCGTACATGCGAGCAGACGTCTGTGTGTACTGTATTGTGCCATAAAGACCAATAAGAAGAAAAATGCGTACATGCTCAGTGTGTTTACCCCCAATGATCAGCATCACAAGGCCGCACATGTGTGTGAAATGCCTTTATGTTTATACAAATGACAAAACGAATGTGATTAGGAAGGCAGATGAATAGATGGAAAGTGTGTCCATGAAGTCTCCCAAAGTGAGGTTCCTTGAGTCGAAGTTCTTTTGGCAGCGCCGTTGTTGTACTTGGATAATACTTGCAGGCAAACGCTGACCGAAGCAAATAAAGAGTCAGTAAAAAAAAAACGGCAACTAGCATCCAAAACAAACGTAAACATGTTTTTCCATCAGCTCCCAGCTGGCAGAGGACAGATGAAGTGGTGGGTGTCAATGGTAACAGATGTTTGTTTTGTGAGGGTCTGCGCTCATGTTTGATGCTGGATTTATTTGACTTTGCAAAGGCAGACGATTGGTTTCAAACTGTTGCACCTGCTGTAAATACAGGCAGAAGATCTCGGGGTTCTGAGGGACTGGAGGTGCACATACAAAATGGAGATTTACTCTGACTAAAGCAGCTATGAGACAATTTGAGGAAGCGGGTGATTTGCTGTCTTGCCCAGAGCGGTAGGAGAAGATAAACTCGTCTCTCTCAGGTCCGTTTGTTACGAAGCAAGCAAAAAATGGTCTCCTTTCAACTGTTAGATTTCGTGTGTGACTCCCCTGATCGTACACGAGGAGGCCAAACCTTTGCCCAACGCAAGAATCTCAGAGGAATGTGACTGTGGTCAAAACGTGGCAAAATCTGGAGGCTGAAGAAGAAGAAAAAAAAGCCAACAAGGGAAGCGTCTTTCTTTTCGCCCCCTTTCTTTCGTCAAAAAAAAAGGATGAAAACTTAAAAATCCTTTCGGTGGGAAACAAAAATAATCCCCCCTCCCTCAGCCAAACACACGTTCACATGCAACCGCAGCTGCATTGTTTCCGTGAATGTATTAATTTCAGCCAAATGGATTGGAACGTGCTGGTGGTACGTATGGGGATGACGTGTGGTGATGGAAACTATGAGCCGGCTGGAGAGGGGGGTGAGTGGGGTGCGGGTGGGCGGAGGGGGGGGTGTAATCTGAAGGAGACGTGACATCACTCTTTACTCAACAAGAGTGAATGCCCTGTTGTTTTTGCATCCGAGCCAATCTAAGACACATTAAAGCAAGGGATTGTTTCCTCAAAGGTCTACTTCTTGTCCTCATAAATCCTACTAGAATAGCATATTATATATATATCACTTACTCACTTTGGACCCCGTTCGGGCCCCCACTTCCATTTCCTAACTTAAGAGAAAGGACTTCCTTTCTGCTCCGTCCTGGATGTGGGGGGTCAAATATTTGGCTTGGAACGATGTGCTCCTTCATAATGTGTGTAGTGGTTGCCAGATTGTGAAAACTTAGTTTTGCAAGTATTTGTCTTTGGAAAAAAAAAAAAAAAACTGGGAATGATGGAGTGTCACATGTCGGTAATAATAATACATGCTCGAGATAATCAGTCTACGTTAACGTTATTAGTTCTTCAATACAGAGATTCTTTGTTTCGTTTCTCTGCGGCAGTGTCTTTTACTTTGAACACGATTTTTTTTTTTTGCGCCACGCGAGGCCTCGTTGAGGTCTGCGCGCCCCTCAATTCTTCGGGAGATTTACGCAATGGGAACTCACCTCGACACACTTTAAAAGTACATTCAGTGTTTAACGCCAGCGCGCAGCGCACCGGTCCACGAAGCGCGCCTCCGCGTAAAAACACGTACCTCTGTTTGCGCGACAGGATCCTCCGGAGACTTTCCCGCAGGCGTCCGTGCAGGAGGCGAGCTGGTCGTCCCCTCCGCGCTGCTCTGGAGGACGAGATGACGGATGACGAGATCCTGCGTGAAACTCCCGCGAGCCCAAACCGGACGGGTCTCCACTGCCTGGAGCATCTGGTGCGTAAAAACCAAACCACTGGCTCCAAAGACGCCCCTTTCGTCTCTCCACTCCCTCCGGCCCGCCTGTCACCGTGTGGGAAGCTTCAGCAGGAAGGAGGTTTGACTCCGGGCTTTTTAAGGTTGTAATTGAACATTTAAATACACAGTTCACCTTTGGCCTGCTGCTGTAAAGCACCTGCTTACCTCTCTAAATGCAACGGCCCTGTTATAATCTCATTTTAGGAGCTATTCCAATCTTCTCAAGCTGTCAGCACAATAATAAAAAAAAAAACAGTTGACGTTTTAAATGGTTTCCTTCCGTTAATCTGTTATTCATAAGCAGTACACGTGATAAATGGTGTTGACTTGACACAACATGGTTCTTCACACACATCTTATAGTGTGATATATAGAGCTCATCAAGTGTATACGTGCTATAGCTGATTTGCTGCAGTGTTTATACATGTTATAAACACTGCCAAGCTGTTACGCACCCCTGTAATGTCCCCGGATTGAGTTATGCATTTGACTTTATCCTGTAAACATTCTACATTGAAAAAGAGTAATGAGTTTGTGGATTAATTAGTGATCTGTTATTATCTGTTTTAAACATATAAAATCAGTGATGTATTTAGAAAACCAAATATTATGGACAGAATTTAACTTGGTCTAAACTCTAAAAAATAGTGTGTGAAATGAAAGACAAAGATGAGTCTTTTACGTTTATCGACGAATCAGCAGGTTTTGACAGATGTGGTCCTTTACTTGGTGAGTGAGTTCTGCAGCACCAGTTCAAAAAACCTTCTAAATCCAATAGTTAAAAAAACAAAAGTGATGACGGCCGTTCCTACGTTTGCCAGGTTCAGAATGACTAAAGTGACCATGTGTGGAGCATTTCTGAACGCTAGGAGAATGAAACTGCTGAAAGAAGAAAAAGAAGAGCACTTCAACATGTTCTGGTTTTTCCAGATTCTTTCATGGCTCAGATCTCAAAAGTCCTTCCCTTTCCAGTTGAGTTTAAACGCCAGTATTCACAGTGATGTACATGTCTCATGAACTCTGAAGGCGTTCAATCGCTGCACGTGTGCAATCATTTACATTTCACGACCATGTCCGAGTTCAGATTTTGAACTCGACACAAAAAGGAGTCTGATCCGATGTCAAGGCCGAGGGTGTTGAGACGCTGCCAGCAAAGTGTAACGAAAGACTCGGGCTTCTACTTGGAAATGTGCCAGCGAAGAGAAATGTGAACAAGCAAAAGGTGGATGGGAGTTTGCTAATGGCATCCAATGCAAGTGTAAATTCTTCAGTGTAATTTACCAAACTGTTCAGACATTGACACCTCCCTACTGTGAAGGGAACAACTCTCAAGAAGCAGGGCCGTTGAAGGCCCAAATGTCCAAACCTTTGTTCCAGATAACGTGGATGAAAAAGATCCTTTCAGTACTGCGCCTGATCCCAAACCTCGACGACAAGCCGTGAGGCCTGAACAAAGGCCGGAATACACCGAGCGATGATACGCTGTTGAAGACTAATGCGACACAAACTGGGAATGAAGGCCGAGCAGGAGCTGTGCAGCCTCAAACCCAAGCGCCGGCTATCGGCTATCCGAATGACATTGGGAAGGTTGAGCAGAGACAAAGGGACAACGCAAAGTCCCGCTGTTGCAGAAAATGTGTTTCCTTCCAGTAAGAAATATCCTCGTGTTTGACGGAGAAGAAAACCAGCTGGAGGGAGCGGTGACACTGCCTCAAACCAACCACCAGAGGGCGGCCAAGAGACGGGACGTTGTTCGACCATTACAGCAGCAACCCCACAAAGACAAGAGTCTCCTAACAAAGCTCTTTGGAAGTGAATACAAAACTGCATCTGCTTTTTACAGATGAAGAGTTTTAGGTGGAAGCCTGTTCATCCTCACGCCACCAATGTTATTCTATTAAAAGAAATAGTCACAACTCTGTTTTACAAATAGCTCTGCTATCAGCTCTGACAACCAAATCTCAGTTGGAATTTATGGAATTTCGTTTGATTGATTAGCAAACCTTTGGACGGTACACTTTTGGTTTCCTGTTAAGAAAGCGCAGGCCTTATTGAATCAATCATCCTGTGTTATAAAGAACAAACCCGTTAGCAAATCTACTGCAGACCTTTGAGCTCAGGCGCTACTCACGCACTGTACTGAGGATGTCGAGGTCCTTTGTTCTTCCTGACAAGGTGAGTCCAACTCACCCATTCTGATCAACTGTTATTTCTTGTAAACATGTATATAACCACAGAGTGTAAATAACAAACAGTATTTGTTCATGCAAAAGACAAATGGGACTCAGTGCTGTTTACGGCAAGTAGGTGTGTGGTTGAGGACTTAAATGCAGACAAAGACGAGGCACAACAAAGTAAAAAATGTTTATGAACAGGGGGTGATGGACAGTACTGCAGAGCGAGGGAGCCCAGGCACCTGAGTGTGAGCGTGGCAGGGAATGCATTGGCTTGTCGAGGTGGACAGACTTGGGAACCGGAGGGTACAGAAATCCTGAGCGGCAGATAACTCCCACAGCAGTACTAACACCTATCTGCCGGATAGGTGTTAGTACGGCTTTCCAGTGGACGGAAAGCCGGCGTATAGATGTACTGTCGCGTTGATGAGTTGATGGAAAATTGGTTACAGAGACAGACTTCAACTGGCAGACATTGGATGATGGGGGGGGATCTTCAAGGAGGATGAGAACCTGAGTTAAGTCAAACTGCTGATATCTTTGTGCTGGTTGCGTTTGAGCCACACCTTGTGACAGCAGCAGAGACCGGCATGGACGGAAAGTGCCGCAATCTCATCCTCCAGAGGCGTCCGATAACCCGAGCAGCATCCCAACGGGTTTGCCTTTCTTCGGTTACTCCTGCACCCTGTGAGTCAGATCGCCGTGTAACTCAACCCATGTTGAGATTTTAAAATGAAAACTGCATGATCTGCATCTGTAAGCCGACCCTGAAGCGACAGCCTCAGTGAGCATGAGAGACGAGGAGGACGCCTCTGAACTCGACTCCCAACATCCGGTCATGTCACACTGCGAAGCATAGACTGCTCTTAAACAAATAAACCACACAGCTGGTGATATTTAGCTCTTTATAGATATTTGTAAGGTCGGCACGTGTCTTGAAGTCATGTGGAAACAGCTAGTTCTCCATGCACCACATTGATGAGTGATAGGACTGGCTCCATTTCTACTTACTCATTGGTGACAACGCTCCCCTTTGGGGGATTTAAAACAAATAAGACAATGAGAAATAAGGCTCAAAACAACTTTACATCAGGAACTGGGCAGTATGACGTCGGTTCCTCTCAACAGTATACTTTTAGCGTCTAGAATTTAAATATTTATGGACACCGCAGGGCCACCAACTGTGTGAAAGTAGTCAGGCAGGCTGGGAATGAGCTTTACTTGTCCAAAGGCTGGCAGACAACACTTTATTAAAAGAACAATGTATATATACTGACACACAAATAGACGGTGCACATTCAAACCTGAAAAGAAGAGGTTTGGCACCAGATGATTGTTGCTTATATTGTGAATGCTGAAAGACATTTTTACCATGAGGCTTCCTTTCCCTGCAGCGGCCTCCACACATCAAAGCCTGCACACTCTCACAATGGTCTTCCACTTCTAAGTCAAACGTTTTCTCGGCTACACAACATTTTCTGTGGCGAACAGCAAACTGCAGGGTCCCGGAAAAAAAAATATCGAGATATAATTTGCTCCCTGGTTGAACTGTTTTTTCCACGGCGGTGAGGAGCAGATCTGGGGGCGATTAGAGGCTCCATCTGAGGCTCCATCCCGCCACGACCCATTGAGTCAAGATGCCCACGCTACGTGAAGGGAAGAAGCCTTTTCATTTACGTGCGTGGCACTTTCAACCTTATTGGCAACACCAATTTGAATATTGATTTATTTGAATTTTAACACAGTTTCTTGAGAGGGGGGGGGGGAAACTTTGTTATCCTGCAATGTCAAACATTTAAATGTAAATATGCTGCCACCTGCTGGTAAAACCTGCTAGTTACAACCCCTCAACTGTGGGTGGAGAATTAAACACAAGATTCAAAAGTCAGAACTTTTGTTATCACCATATTAAACAATTTATGTGGGATGATTTACTCTTTTAACCGGTCTATATGATGAAAGTCCCGCTCATATAGGGAATAAGGTAATGCCAAAGTGTTTGGACTAACAATCTCAGAATGAGATAATTCCTAAAACGAAATAACTGCAATCTTTACTTATTGTGGCATATTATGTGAGAATACTGTAGCATTATAACCTATAGTAATAATTACATATTTTTTTAAAGCCTTATGATTGACAGAAATAAAGAATGACAACTTACAATAACTTTCTTAATTCGAGACAATTATGAGCAAAAGAGTTTATAAGTTTGAAAAATAGACATAAATTATCAAAAAATGATGTACATTAATTACAAATCTCTGAAATATTAGTAATCGCTTGCATCAAAAAGCGAAATTAAACGCAACAAACTGAATCCCCGTGGAGTAAATCTGGTCAAAACGCTCATCACAACGTACAAGAATTCGGGGCTCATCAGTTGTGGCAGGTTTGTACGAGTGAAAAGCATCATTTGTAATTTGCAGGCTGCATCGGGTCCAACATGCTGGTAACAAACCAGGGCTCTAATGGTTTAACTGGTACAGTACTGGTCTGACAGGGATGCTGAGCAGAGCGCCAGCCGCTGGTCAAATGATTCATTATCAACAAATAACACAAAATGGAACAAACACTATGCTTTCTTCCTCTTACTGGCCATTAGATCCACCTACTAAAGCCAAATCTCTAAAGTTAAATGAGCAGGGACATGAAAGAAGTTCATACTGTTCATTTAAGTTTGTGGACATTCAGCCTGAGCTTTGTGTTTTTTTTTGTGATGAACACGGTGAGTGCTTTAACTGGATCAGAAGCCTCTCAGGCGTAAAGTACACAGAAGCAATCGGCCAGTAGTGATAAATGTGCAGAGCGGAGGAACAAATAGTCAGCACAGTCCATCAGTTCGTACTGAATCACAATCAGTTGCACGCAGTAAGGCGGCGTGTGCTTGACAGGAGGCCTGTGTGCTTTCATGTGGCCTCGCTGCTCTCCAGGTCCGCCTGCTGCCTTTTAGACGCCGCTGCCATTCACCGCGGCGTACTTAAGGCCCATCGGGTGGTTCCTGGAGGAGCGCACGTCTTGAGGCGGGGCGCCAACTTCAAACACCTCGTGGATGGCTTTCCGGAAACAATGGAAGTTGTACTCGATCAAACCTGCAAAGAGGACGGAAAATAAGAAATTCAAAGCGTTGAATTTCAGACGTGGTGGGAGATCGTGCTCTGCAAAATTCAGCATGCAAGGTTCTGCAAGCCTGCTCAGCCTGCTGTAGCTAATGGACTGCGTCCTGAATTTGTGATTGAAACGCAATCAATAGAAAAACGACCCACCTTTCCTCTCAAAGCCCTCTTCTCTGAGGATGCAGACGAGAGCGAGGAACTTTGTGACCTCCTTCAAATAAAGCACTGTGGTGTTGTTGAGCCGGATGATCGCCATGGACCCGCTGTCGTAGGCACAGCCACTGCCATCCTCCATCAGCCTGCCGACAAGCAGAAGACACAGAGGCCCCTTTGAGCCGTTCATCCGAGGGACGCGACCACCGGCAACTTCACGCTAAATAAAATTTCTTCCGACCCGTAAATGCAGGAGACGTCGATGACAACGTCGATCATATCGCAGCAGAGCTCGTAGGACTGCATGTCCACAGGAGAGCTGTCTGTGGCGATGTAAATCTTGCTAACAACATCAAACAGGAAGGCTTTCTCGATCCCAGAGTGCTGCGAAACACGAAGGACGTTAATAGGAGACAAAAAGGACACACTTCAGAGACTATTCCTTCCCGTCATCGAACGTGACAAAAACCACCATACCGATATGAAAATGTTCAACAGGTTCTCCAACGTCGGTAACTGAGGGATGAGCTTCTGGACGACTTTGCTAAAGGCCTCAAATATGGAGTGGTCGTAGATGCTGGTTAGGTAGAAGCTGAGGAGGAGAAGTAAGAGAGTTAAGAAGCTACAGCTAAAACACAGAGGCAACAAATAGGTCTCAGCTGTAAGACTGCAAGACAAAACCAAATACAGACCCATGTGTGTTTCACGGTGATGTATTAGAAACTCAACGCTACACCTAAAAAGTCGGATTTCACCAATAGGCTTCCTGCAATGTGGTTGACTCAAAACCTCCGTGGAATCAGATTGATTTTTAACGTAAAAACATTGATATGCTGATATGATTGATAGGCTGTTCGTGCACACAGTCGCCACTCTGCACAGCTGATAATGACGCATCCAGCGAGTGCTTCTTCACAACAGCACCCGGCTCCACGTCACCCTTTGGTAGACACTGTTAGCTCGGTCAACACTCAGCGTGGTTCCATGTATTGGAATAACTGGCTTAGTCGGACTAAAATCAAATTATCCGTTTCATGTAGACACCTTTGTCCGACTATGTGCGGTCCGACTATGATCCGACTAACACCCCTGGATAACTCGATCCGATCCAGTTGATAGTTCGACTATTGCGGCATGTAACGGTGAATCGGATGAGGAACTGGACTCTGCGCATGCTTGAGATCCCGACGGCGTCTTCTCTCCGTTATCAAATCAGCCAATAGCGCCATTCGCATCCGCTGTGCTCCTATTAGCATCATGCACACATAGTAGAGGGATGTAGCTTCACCTTGCTCTCCGTTCGCCATCTTTCTCGTAATGTTGATGTTGTTGTTGTTGTTGGTAGTGGTGGTGAAGAGGTCAAGCGGAAATGGCTGTATCACAACTAGTTGTAATGAAAACAGCGCCACCTATCGTATCGCGTATGACATGCTTTCAGCCAATGATTCGATTTATTCACTGCCATGTATATTGGGATAATAGCGCCTCCCCCCCGAAAGATAGCATAGTCCGACTAAGCAAAGATTCCAATTATACCATCATGTAAACACACTGACTATGGCCGCTGTTTGCTCTGTTGGAGGCGACAGATATGCTTTGAATGGGTCATTTAGCGCCTTTGGAGAGGTACAGTAGGTCTGATCCACATGTCTAGTGTTAGTGGTGCGCATACAATCTCCTTCCTTTTATCCTACAATCATAAAATGTAATGTTTCTAACCTGTGCAGACTCACCTGAGGTGAAGCTTCTCCAGGCTGGCGTCTGCCAGATCATCGTTGGCCCTCCGATGAATGTCTCTCTGTGTCTCTATTTTGTGGTCGTCAGACAGGCCGTCTACTTTATGGATGAACACCTCAAAGTTGATGTCTGGGTTCACTTTGTAGGCTCTGGATATGGTGAGATGTAACCGCCCGAGGGCCTCGACATAGTCATCCTGAGAAGAAGGAACAAGTCACGGGCAATTCCGCACTGGGAAGCATTTAAAGTTTAGGTTTCGACAAAATGTCACCTCACCTGAGCATCGATGACAAAAATCAAAGCGCCGGCCCCGCTGAAGATCATCTCGCTGTCAAACGAGGGGTCAAAGAAGTCCACCTGGCCAGGAAAGTCCCAGATCTGAAAGTTGACGAAGGAGGTGCTGGAGATGTCGTCCTTGTAGATTTTGTTGGTGCTCTCGAGAAACAACGTTTCATTGGGTGACATCTTGTGGAAAACAACCTGGTCAGAGGAGCAGAAGGATCATTGTCTCAGTCACACCCATCCGTGTGTCTGCCGGACCCAAAAACTGTACAGTAATGTCGCTTTGCAGGAATCATGAAGCGATAACTGAAGACAATCCACAGGCCTTGTTGTGTGCAGTTTCATGTCGGAACTGGGTAGAGACCACATGGTGAAGAACCAAGGACTTTTGCTCATGGTTACAGTCAGTTTCCAGCTTATCAGGCACGGCTAAAGCAAAGCTAATGCGCTAATTTCGGTCTGAATGACGGATATCAAGCTCAGGTTTGAGAGGCGTTGATTAATTTGAAATACTGTCAGGACATACTGACAAGTCTTTCTAATATTATCAATGGCAGATTAAATATAATAAAACACCTGCCCCAGCTGTTTATTCCCTACGTTGGAATGAGTCCAGGATCTTAAATGACAGGACTATTCTGGACTGAAGGTTTTGCACAATAATCCCATAATACACATGTACATAATAAGCATGTCAGTCCTACAGCCTCCGAGGTGTAAATGAGCATCAGCTGTGGGCAGGTTCACCTTGCAAACACGGATAGGTCTCCTGGTCCTGTGCTGCTGGTGTGTTTTACCTTCTGAATGGAGGACTTGCCGCTGCGCCGCAGTCCCATCAGCAGGATCCGCGGTTTGTCAGCCGGCGCGCAGCTCTCCTCCATGTCGGGCTCCTCCACCCCGTAGCCGAAACTTTTAGGAAATGACCCCACCACGTCGTAACTCCCCGTTAACGCGGGCTCCTCGTACTGAATGGACATCCTGCTCGTTGCCGACACGCCCGCCGCGTCTTCCTTCCGTTGTTTTTGTCTTTTTAATCGTCTCTAAGTGGCGACAAGAAACCTCCAGGAATGCTGTTGATTTTCACAACAAGCTAGCATGGCTAGCCAGTTAGCCAGCAGCTGTGAGCGCGGTGTTTGTACTTTAGAATAACACGTCAGACCGAAATGTCTACACACGGCAATCAAGAGCAAAGTCACCAAGAGGTTAAAAAAGCACAATATCGGTGGATATAACGTTAATTAATTGAGGTTAGGACACAGACATGACTAACGTTGCTACAAATAGGCGATTCACAAGCGAGGCTTTTTCTCTCAAATGTGATTGGCTGTCCACTCAAAGGATGGTCACGTGACACCCAGCCCCACAAAGCAGAAGCAGGAAGAACACAAACAGTGAGTAATCTTTGTAGATATTCAGCGTTATCGGGGTCTTGCTTTTGAGTCTTAGCGGGGCTGTATCTACTTCTTTGGAATTTAGTTTGATTCTAACATTATCCCCGGCATAAATGCGCAACTGCTTTGTTTCAGAATGCATCTGGTAATTGATCAATTTGATGTCAACCTCCTTGATTAGTTAGCTTATTTGAGCTAACTTGCTCTGATAGAAAGTATCTTTGTCCTTGCAGTATTTTGTAGGATAATTTATTATTTCAACCTTGTTGATTTGCTGATAAATCTGAGACTCTTTGGAGTTACGACCTGAAGCCATTGAAGATAACAGGAAGTGAATCAGCTGTTTTTCACGTGACTCTTTCTTTCTGCGCCCTTCAGACTCCCATTGTTGTGTTTATCCGTCTAACTATTGATCTATTGGGCCAAACAGAGACCAATACAAGGAACAAGGGCGACAAAACTACATTCATTAACTCCATTCAGATATTTTTAAATGTATAACAGTCATAGTGATAATAGTTAATAACTTTGAACGATGCCCCTTTGGGGGATTTGGTTGTTACAAGGACGACAATAAAGATTATATTTTAAAAAGTGTACATTTAATAACCAAAAAACTTAGCTTAACAGGTAATATGATGAGCATTCATCTGTATACATGTTTGAATTGAACACGGTATGAAGTGTTTTGCCATTGCAATTATAAATTTAACTTACAAAACGTATACAAAAAATAATCCACCTGGGTAAATTCGGTTGACTTAATCTGTAATGGCTCTAGTTGTTCAAATACAAACAGATTATATATATACATAAATATAAAAATCATAAAAATGTGTGTGTGTGTGTGTGTGTGTGTGTGTGTGTGTGTGTGTGTGTCAGGATCCAGGATGACAGCGGCCCTCCTGTGTTTCCTCCTGGCTGCTCCGCTGCTGCTGGTTGCTGGCAGCCCAGTTCATAAGTCCAACAATGGGACCGTACCATTGGTGCTGTGGCATGGGATGGGTGAGCCTCCTTCTACTGGGAAAACAAAAACCCTGTTACATTCAGCTCTACGTCGACTTATCTGATGGAAATTATGAACACACCTGGTTTTTGAGGAATATAAATATTTATTTCACCCTCTAATTTCTTTCACTGTTAGCACATTTACTTATAATAATTCCATCGAGTAAATGGAATCTATTATGGTTTCATAGTTGTTTCAGGGGAAGTGAAAAAGGCACTTTCTCTTCCCTTTCAACAATTTGGTGCCGTTTTTTTTTTACATGTTTAGCAGGTGTTAATGTGAGAAATGCATTTTAGATCAACAGCCAGTGATTATTAGTCTTTTGAGAAGACTGCCTTTGTTCAATGTATTTTCTGTTTCAATAAATCCACATACATCAGCATTGTAGTGAGTCAAGTTTAGGGAAAAGGTTTAAATGACACTCCATTAAATGTCTGTGTGTCCGGCAGGCGACAGCTGTTGTAACCCGCTCAGCATGGGGGCCATAAAGAAGATGATTGAGGAGGAGATCTCTGGCATCTACGTGATCTCGCTGATGATCGGGAAGAATGTCGTTCAGGTACTTCTGTCCTGCGGGACTTGCATATTTTCCTGCCTTCCTTTCCTGTCTCTATTTTCTTCTTAATTCTATTTTTTTTTACTTTGCTGGCTGAAATAGGATCTGCTCTATTTTTTTTTTCACAGGGCTTCCACACTCATGCTCGACAGTGATCCAATAAAAAATAATATTCTTTGTTTCTCAAGCTAAAAGGCGACTACTTTAACCAACAAACCTGCCATTTTTCCTTTTCCTCTTGCACAGCTTGTAGGTGTAGAGATACAACATATTGACACGTTTAGCCGAGAATGTGAATCAAACAGTCGTCCACGTGACCTGCAAGGATTCCTTTTGTGTGATATTTGCAGTGCCGGTGGCACAAGTTACGTCAGGGGACGTTTACAACTCCACTATGTCGTTTCTCGGGTTTAATATTAATAGTAAACCAGCACACGTCTGCTTTGATCCCTCTTAACACTGCGACTTCATCTTCTCAGCTCTTCTCCTGAGGACCTTCTGTTAATCTGCCTGTCATGCTTTGAAACGTTTCATCTTCCTCCTTCTGCAGGACACAGAAAATGGCTTTTTCATGGATGTGAATGAGCAGGTGTCCATGGTCTGCAGTCAGCTGGCCCAGGACCCAAAGTTGAAGGGAGGATATAACGCCATGGGCTTCTCCCAGGGGGGACAATTTCTGTATGTAACTACTGTTCTGGACACTGAATGGTTTTATTATGTGCATGTAGTAGAAATTGGACCAATGCTGTGCTTCACTTCTTGCCTGATTTTCCTGCAAAGTGAATGAAACAAGGTCTCACTCATCGTGTCTCAGAGAACATGAGCTGTGCTTCGTTCTCAGGTGGCGGCCTCTGTTTGAGCATGTTGTCCCATTAATGTCTCCTGACAAGAATGAGGAAGCTTGCGTTGATTTTTCCTGCTGCCTCCTTCCACAGAAGAGCTGTGGCTCAGCGCTGTCCCTCCCCACCAATGAAGAACCTCATCTCCGTCGGCGGTCAGCACCAAGGTCACGAAACATCACGATTACAAACACACCTATGAGCCTCGGTGTTGCACTGGATCACCTGTTACTTTATAATTGTGAATGTGGCCCCTGCAGTTTAGTTTTAGTTCCACGTTCATCGTCCTGCTGCTGCAAATACTCACCAGAGCACCATGTGCGTTAATCCACGCTGTGCGATATTTACTCTCCTTTAAACAACACATGTGGAAAGACGACTGTGCACAACTGCCACAACTGTGACTAGTTTCTAAAGATGTTCCTCTTCACATGGAACAGAATGGGCATTGAGTTAAGGCCCACCGTAACAAAGTATTGGCATGTAAAGACTGGAAGATTTGTCTTTTTATGGAATCTGTTGGCAGTAAGATTTTGACGACGAATCATTACAAACTGTCTTGACAAATAACGTGGGTGTTTTTTTTTAAATCTCCAGGAGTGTACGGGTTGCCGAAGTGTCCCGGAGAGAGCTCCCACGTCTGTGACATGATACGCAAAGCTCTGAACAGTGGCGCTTACACCGACTTGGTTCAGAAACAGTGCGTTGCTTCCTTTGCCTCCTCCCAACAATTGTCCCCCCCCCCGACTGACGCAGATGCGTTTCGTAGCCTTGATATTGTGTGGCTGTCGTCCCCGCTGCGCACACTGACTGGATGTCGTTCTTGTGTTCATCAGCCTGGTGCAGGCCCAGTACTGGCACGACCCCTTAAACGAGGACCTGTACAAGACGCACAGCCTCTTCCTGGCCGACATCAACCAGGAGAAGGTGACCATCATTAGCTTGCCAATGCCAGGGAATAATGTTTGGTCTTTGAGCATGTTATATCCCCTTTAAAGCACACGTCATTTTCCAGCTAATATTACGTTATACAAACTGTATAGAGGTCATACCTTCTCTTTATAGTAGTCAGAATCACTTAAAATATACAACTGTTTTTAAAGGCTGTAAATGAGACGTACAGGAAGAATCTTCAATCGTTGGAAAAGTTCGTCATGGTCAAGTTCCTGCAGGATTCTGTGGTGGATCCCGTCGATACAGAGGTAAAGCGCACACACATACACCTGTACATGAATATCAAGACAGTGTGGTCATGATTTTATTAATTTTTTTGCTGTAGTGGTTTGGCTTCCTGAAAACCGGCCAGGCCAAAGAGACTGAAACTCTACAAGAGAGCGTTCTCTACAAAGAGGTAAGAGGGTTTCTATTCTAATGAGGAATCAGCATGTCGATTGCAGCGGTGGAAGAAGTACTCACATCTTTAGTGCTCTATATGCTGCAGTGTAAAAAGAAAGTCGAAATGTACTTAAAGCAGAATGACATTATATTCACATTAATCCCTTCAACGTTGCAGCTGGTAAAGGTGGAGGCTAATTGAACCGTCTATACACACACTAAATAAAAGGTCTTAGTTAGCTCACAGGGTGTAGCAGCACCGTCTGTAGCCTGGACGTGAACCCATGTCGTGTCTCCTCACAGGACCGCCTGGGACTTGCAGCGATGGACAAAGTGGGAAAGTTGGCTTTTCTGTCATCCGAAGGAGACCACCTTCAGTTCACAAGAGAGTGGTTCACTGAGAACCTGCTGCCTTATTTGCACTAAAACACCTCAATCATCTGGAGTAAAAACCGTTTGTTTTTGGGCGCAGTATAATGCCAGCTAATAAAAGCTGAACTGGGTGTGTAGAATCATTCCTTTTGCACTGATTGCTTGTAGCATGTGGATGTCTTGCGATGTCACAGCATAAACTCAACTATTCTGAGACCATTTTTGTTCTATTAACCATCTTTTAAAATGCCTCTGTACATATTACCCTGTAATCCAATAAAGGCAAAGAGACTGTTTGTTGCAACCTTTTTTAATGAAGTCTCCAGTACTAATGAGCAGAATGCTTTTGGACCCAAAATGAATTAAGAAGAAATGAAAAAGACAATAGAAAATTCAACGGAGAGTTTCAAGAGCTGAAGATAAGTGTGAGTGCCGACGTGCGCAATGAGCGAGTGGAGAGGCGTCAATGGCGAGTTGTAATTGTTAACGTCTATTGAGAAATGCAGATTTTATGAACGAAGCTACACACGCGATTCTTTCCCTCAGTCTTCCACTTCAACATCTCTGCTCTTTTCGCAAACATTTTCTTTCATGTCCCTTCCTATATGGAATGTTTTTTAATACTCAGCAATGTCCTACGTGCGGGTTAAAGGGAAAGCACATGGAATGATCATCTTTACGTCATTCTAACCGTTCCAACCTCAACTAGATGGAGTTTCATGATGTGCACAAAACTTGTTTTTAACTCCTATTTATGTGCTCTGAGAGTGCCAACTTTATTATCCACTATGAATGTTAATATTATTATAGTCAACATCAGCGGAGGTGTTATGGATGCCATTATCCTCTTTGTTTGACAAGTGCTTCAACAGTGGATTGCACATAGTGGAACAGAAACCTACCAGCCCCTCCTGACCAGGAAGAGGAGAAACAAAGCCTGAAGCGTCCTGATACTAGAGCCCGATTGGCTAGCGGAGCAATCAATAAGTCTTCTCAGGTTGGCTATTCTACATGTTAAATTTAGCTTAGCGTTATCCAGATAGATACTGAATATTGTACACTATGAATATTTTTTGCAAAGTGCTGGCTGGCTCAGGAAAAAACTATTTGAGTGACAAGCCGCTCCCTGCTGAATGGCTGAAGGATTTTGCTCTCGCTAAAAAAGCGAGCATTCCTCTGATTGGCTGATGGAAGGGGACAGCTTACGGTGCGATTGGCTGATAAAAAGGAGGAGGAAAGTATAACACATGCGGTCAATCAGTCAGGAAGGAGTTTGCTAAAAAAAAGGGGTGGTGATGGTATCGAGGACAGGGTGGCCATTTCTTTATCTGCCCGCGTCTATCCAGCGATCTCCGTTGACGTGGTAACCAGTTTTTGGCCGTCCCAGACGGTCTTAAACTGTTCAGGAACAGGGAGCTCCTTTTAAGAGATGGGGGGGGGGGGGGGGGGGAAGTCCTGTTGAGATCCATGCTATACATTTCCTTTAACAACACCAAGGACACAGCTAGAGATTCTACATTTTTCAAACTCATGAAAATGTCCCAAATATCCTCTTTTAGTTGGACAGAGCAATGTCCCCCCACGTGGTTCAGAAAAGGATTTGATGGCTTTTAGAGAAGAAAAAAAAAAAAAAAGGAGTTGTATAGCACAGAGGAAGTCGATCAATTCCTTGATGCGTTTGGTCTTTTCATGGGCAGTGACAAACAAATCTAGACCCGCCAGACTCATCCTGAAACGGTACTCACAAATTCTCCGTCTTTGTTGGGCACCAGGACGTTCATCTCCGAGCTCTTGGCGCTGACAATCTCGCAGCTCAGCGAGTCTTTGCTCAGGTAGACATGGCAGCCGTCAGTCTTGTTGATGGAGATAGTGGGGACCTTACCCATGACCTGATCCAAAAAGAAAAACACTGCAACGTTATATCTGCCGTTTAACGGCACATTCGTAAGCAAAGTTGTACTCTGACACATTTCTCTGCACTGCGGCCAAAAACTGAGCTGCAACCACATAAATACAAATGGTGGAAATATATCAATATTTAGCAAAAAATAAAATACAGCATGTGTGCCGAAGAGGACTCCTTGTGTTAGCAGCACTTTGCGGTTACACTGCAACACACCTGGATCTTGATATCCCTGCAGTTGATGATCTCTACGATGCCCACAACATCATCAAACACCAGGCCCATTTTCTTACAGTTGTCTGAAGGAAGAAATAAAGAAAAACATGTTTAGAGGTCAGCCATCCACATGTCATACTTGGCCAACGTTGGTTTTTGGTGAATAAATATCACCTGCCACACTGGTCTTTTTAGTGATGCATTTCGTTGGTCTTAAATAAGCTTTGGGAAATTAACCATTATTTAATATTTATAATTTGCTTCACAACCAACAACTTTACCCAGAGATTAATGTATTTTTTAAAAAAAAAGCTATTCTGTACTACGCAAAATTCCCCATGCAGCACAAATATCTCTGATGTCTGTGTTGCAGGACAAATGTAGATCAAATTGTTACTTATTTTTATTTGGATATTTCAGACTGAAAAAGTTCTGAAGCTCTGACCAGTTCAACCAGTAAAAACACAATTTTGTTCTTACCCAGTATGATGGAGTTGATTTTGTTCTTGACTTGCAGGCAGCTCTTGTTACACTTGTAAGCATAAACCACTTGTTTCAGCTCAGTGTTTTCTATTACCAGGCTCTGTGCGTCCTCCTGGTTCTCCTGCAGACGGTAAGAAGCGGGGGAAACAAATAAAAGTAAATAAACAAAGTTTAGAGTTCGTGAGAGAATGAGACAAAACTACTATAGAAGGCCATCTATTAAAAGGACAATTAGCGCTGACAGTCTGCTGCATAAACAAAGAGAAACAGAGAGAGCGAATCAACGACTTACCACTTTCCACTTCTTCCCGTCCAGCTCGAACACGGGGGGCAGCTTCGGGGTGGCGGACGCAGCAGGCCGGGGGGCGGGTGAGGCGAAAGGTTTTGGCCCAGTACGTATCGGAGCGGTCGTGGTCCTCAGCGTAGGATTCTTGTGAGTCTTCTGGTCGTCGCTCACATGCTTCAGGGCTTGATGCATCACGAAGAGACGGAAACGCAACGTAAGTCCTCCGCCATCACGCGTCTTTGTCTGCAGTAGATCACACATAAACGATGCTGGTCACTTACCCCTGGTGATGTCCGATCCCTGGTTGATGGCGGCGAATAAAGCGTTACGGTTGTCATCGCCGCCGCCAGACGATCCGCTCAAGTCCACGGAGGGTGGAGGAGGTCCAGGGGGAGGTGGGGGAGGACATCCACCAGCAGGAGCCCTGGGGGCGGCTGCAGAGGCTGAAGCTATGGGACCCTGAGGTGGAGAGAACATTAGAAATGCTGCATCTAATGTCACAGCACAAAAAAAGTAGAAATGAAAAGAAAAAAAAAATCAGAAAGTGAAATAATGCAAAAATGTTTCACTTAGTGTTATTATGCTTGGTCCTTTCGAGGATTTATCTTGGACTCACGCTCTTGCTCCAGGTCAGCCCGGTGGTGTGGTGCTGCTTGACGTAGTTTTGCAGCTCCGTCCAGATGGAGACGTAGGCCTTCACCCAGTCCAAATGGGTCTTGTCCCTGTGAGGGAGCGACAAACGGTCTATTTATAATCAGCATATTAATTTGATATTTGTTCCCGTTTCCTGTTCAGTGTCCCACAAAGAAACTAAACTAGAGTGATCTAGTTGAAATGGAGCATTTCTAATAAAGCAATAAACACACACACACACACACACACACACACACACACAATCTCACGCTGTACAAGCGTTAAGACCCATGACATGTGTTTGTATTCAGAATTAGACTAACATTTTAATAAAAACGGTTCGTGTAACTGTTAAACATAAGACTGGACACTTTCAGCCTTTAACTTTTACGATTTAACTTCACTGTAACTAACTGTTCCAAAAAAAAAAAAATTAAATTTTTTTTTAAAAAAAGCTCTGAGGTCAAAATACAGGAAGTCTGTCAGTCGCATGTGTCACGACTCAACATGAACAACCAAAAAAGGAGCCTGGAGGAAGGAAAGCTGGTTGAGCATGTTGAAAGATGGTCGGACCATGAACGCTGTTTATTTATGAATAAACATCATAGGTATACATACATTACATTTGTCTTGAGAGAGGAATTCAAATTGTATGCAAAAAATGAATGTGTAGCCAGCTCATCTGCAGAACAATCAGCGTGACTTACTTTTCCTTAAAGTCCTTGAGCACACGGTTGGTGTAGAACATGGCAGCATCCTGCATCTCTTTGACATAGGGACATGGCTTCGGAGCCTGGGACACAAAGGAAAAAAACAAATGCATCCATGTCCAAACAGAGATTGGATTAAATGTTTGACTTTTTGGGAAATGCAATTGTTTGGGTGAGAAGAGTATTCCTGAATAAAGCCTGGAAGACGGGAGAGAAAAGCATGCCCCCAAATAAAAAATACTTTGGCAAATATGCCCACTTCCGTTCTTGAAGAGGTTTGGAAAGGAATTGGAGGAAATACGAAGGTCTGCACGCTAAATATGAGTCTAGAGCCAAAGGACTGTTGGCATAAAGACTGAGACGGGAAACAGCGAGCTGAGCTCTGTTGAAGTGATAGGGTTGCTTATACTTAAAGTGTCAAATATGGTAAACACCCATGTATCATTTCTGTTACCGTTGGACAGAGCCGGGCTAGCTCGCTCCCGTCTCTAGACGGTCTTCATGCTAAGCAGCCTCTAGCTTCATATTTAGATATACATGTATAAAAGTTAACCATCTAAACAGTGAAGCTCTGTTGCTGGCTGCCAGGATTCAGCCAAGAAGCTGTCGCTCACCACACAGCTTGTTTGCAGCCATTGTACACTCACAGACTCGCTCTCTATGACAAACAAACAGCGCCTCCAAAAAGCCTCCCCTCCGGCCATCCCAAGTCTCACCATGGCGACCCATCCGAGGGCCGGCACGCTCTCGCTCACAGCAGAGAGGTGGTTGAACAGCGGCGAGGTGCGGTTCTGCTCGCGGAAGGCCTGCACCTGCTGGATGGCCTTGGACACCGGCTGCAGGAGAGTCGTCAAAACGGCCTGAACAGGAGAGGGAGAGTAAACAGACAGCGTCCAATACTCAGGATGGACCAAGATTTGCTCCTTAGTGAAGGTAGAAGTTCTTAAGTATTTTTTAGTGTTGCAGAGGTACTACGAGAGTTTAACTCACATCAGAGGGCTTCTGGGAGGAGGAGGCGGTTACGAGCAGCTGTCGCTGACTGTTGAACGCCTGCTTCATCATGTCGGCCTGGAAGAGAAGAGGGAGAGCTCCTGGTGTCAGAAATGAATAGCTCATTCGGCTTTTTTTTTGCATGCTTGTTACCCTTTTAACCATAAAGTAAGCGAAACAAAGAACTGACAGGTCAGCAGTTGGAAGGTCCCATGGGACCGGCAGTAGACAACCTCATGTATTTAGGTGGGTTACACTATGCATGTCAATGTTTCCGTCTGGATAAGCCTTAATCGGGCACCATTAGACTGTGACTTACATGTTTCTGGACATCACCCCCGATCTTCTGGCTGAGGGAGAGGTACAGGGCCAAAGGGCCGTTGACTATCACATCAAAGGCCTCAACGAACGCCGATACAGCTACAGAGCAGAAGAAACGCAATAAAAAACACATTGTCAGGAGGAGACTGTGGCTGCAGTAATGTGAGCGTTGCATGAACGGGTTTATTTGATTTGTGAAAAGTAATAAAGCCTGTAAACGTAAATACTCGTCTCACTCCAAGACACATCTTAATCATAAAACAATTGATCCAATAATATTGAGTGTTTCTCATTTACCTCCCCCAGCAGAATCTCCACCGCTGCCTCCAGATCCGGACATGTTTTCCAGACGACCCACCGCCACCTCCAGCCGCTGCACCAGACTCGCCAAGTCAGCCATTCCTGCAAATAAAAAACACACATAGGACATTTAATTGGGGGGAAAACAAGAGTCTTGAGTGAACGTCTCTGCACGGCTTGAAAACTTGCTGTAACTAAGCTCACTGGCAGACTTTTACTGAAGCAAACACTGTTTCATGTTGGCTCTATGGGAAGAGACACCGCTTTAGTCGTATTGATGAAGGTTATTCTTGAGGGCGTTCTGTCACCAGTGACTATGGAGAGTTCAGACACAGACTTTTGATCTAAATAATCATCCCGACACGGTGGGACTTTCGGTTTTAGTCGTCCTCTAACTGGGGACGGAATTACTCGGGAGGCACAAGGTGAAGGGAATACCGCAACAAACAAAGGACAACAAACAGCTGAGCTCTGGACCAAAGCGCTTGTTTGAAAAGGTCAAATGATCCAGTATTTGGTAGAACCTTGGTAGCAGAGTTTTTCCAGTGTCCCATTCCTGCACTGTCATCTGTCAAATAAGATCTAATAAAAGAAAGAAGTTGCACCACATTGCACCTTGAAGGTGGTCGAGTAACAACAAAGTCGAAAGGGTGCGTTGGTAAGCAGGTCAGGACGTGTTACGGTATGAAGATTATTGCAAGTCACTGCCGACTGTCCGCAGAGTGCAGTCCTGGCCTGTTGGCCAACTATGTCATTTGCGGATGCTTTTGTTTCACAACCAACTTCAATCCAGGTTCAGCGTAATCCTACACACACATTATAAGAGCCACATAAGCTTAGCTGTAACGCGACGCTGCAGTCGCCCGTGTGATGGACGGTGCCTCCAGTGTCTGGTACTTCGACCTGGCTGACGCTGAATTGAGGCAAACAAACACACCGCTCTTACTAATGAATCCACGCAAGAAAAACCTGCCGCTACAGTCACTCTCCATCCAGAGGGACTGACAAAAAGTATGGTAATTATGTGTTGTATATATTATGTATTGGCGATACCGTGTCACATTGTAAAAACAAAGAACAAGATAGCCAGTAAGTTCTTACAGCAGATGAGTTACCAAATGGCTCAACTTCCCTTTTTCTGCTGCATCCATTCAGACGATGCTGTATTTTAATTTCTATATAAAAGGTGTTGGAGATAAAATTAGATCAAAGCAGGATCATAACATAACTACAGTACAAAATATATACCTGCAGGTATCAGTTATAGTCCCTCATCTGAGCTGAGATATGACTCATAAGCAATACAGGAAGGGAACGGCCCTAAAAGTAAGCGAAGAGGGAGTAAAAAGAAGAACCTAAATGGACAAGTTGCTTTAAATAAATGTATTGCATATGATCAACTGTAATGACAAACTTCCCCAGTTCAGTTTAGAAGCTGAAGAACAGTTTATAAACTTCTTTAAAATAAAAGTGGCTGCGTATGTTCAAGCAATGTACGGACTATCGAGGAAACTCCGTTAACAAAAGTAGAAACAACTTTCCAGAGACACAAGGAGCAGATCTATTTTAAGCCATGGAATCCTGCCTTTCATAACATTTTCCTTAGAACCATGCACTATTAAAAAAAATATATAAACAGACTTAACACCCACTTTGAACAGGAAGGAACATTTAAGGAAAATTGGGTTTGATGCGATCCAAGAAAGCAATTATAGATTTGCACGGTACAGATTTGAAGTTTGTTTTGCAAAAGGTTGTGTGCTTCCTCTTGCCTTTTGAAAACTGGCTGAATAAAGTCACTCGGTCAGTCATCCTTTCACAAAACTAGGGCCCTGAAGATGCAAATATATAATACACAAATATATTATGCGTTAAAGCGCTTGCTGGTCTTCCTCAAACATCTAAAGCCCTGTTAACTATTTAATAAACCCAGTTTCTGAGCCATATGGACCAACTGTTGTGAATAAAGCATCATCAGCATGGAGGGGCAGTGAAGTAGGTTAGGCCTGTGTGAGGGTTTCTCTGCCTGGGGGGGGCAGACGATCAGACATAAAGGAGAGAGTGTGTGTGTAGCCGGTCTGTCCATTTGCATGTTATAAAACAATACCATGCAGTTCACATACACACCATTTCACTGATAAGACCAACGGTATGCGGCCGGGCTCTGATTTCTCTAAAGACTCCTGCTTTGGTGGCGCACGGGGCTCCAACAAATCAAGTCCAAAGCCGCCGACGTTAATGAGATCACCGGGTTTTCAGTCAGACGGCCTTTGGATGCTAGCTCGGCTAAAGCTAAAGCTAGCTAGCAGCGAGGGGGCCGGGTGGGTGTTGTGCGGAATTCGGTGTCCCGAGCGAGTGTGGATTCCTCGCCCCCACGTCGCGGGAAAGGCTTTATCTACAGGACAAGCCTCAAACAAACATGAGCAGGCTGTTTGGTAGCTTGAGTAAACACACGTTTCCTTAAATAGAGACGTTTGTTCTACGCGGCTGCTTCTTCGATGAGGAAGTGATCCGCCGGGCTCACAGAATGTCATAACACCACTGGCGACAACGAGGAAGCTAAACAAAAAAAACAGCCGAAATCCTGAGATAACGTTGCGCTGTGGTTGTTTGACAAAAGGCATCGGTCCAGCTAAGAGTTAAACATTAAAATAAATGTGCCATTGGTTAACCGGTGTGTGCCATTCCGCTATTTCACCCTCCCTGTTGTGAACGTCTGCAGTCTTTTAGGGCATTTCCTGGTTTGTCTCCCTCACACACACACACACACACACACACACACACAAACACACCCCTTCCCGTGTCAGCTAATTTACGTTGAGTAAAAAAAAACAAGTTGCCATATTTCAACGAGCTGACGTCTGCTATCACAGAAAGCAGATGTGTGCATGTAACATTTAAAAACATCTGTAGACCAGCGTAGCCGCCTCGGCTAGCCGGCTGCGTTAGCATCACACGGACTCCAGCAAATGACTTGTGAATGATTCAAAGCAGCGGTGCAATGTTTCACGTTTACGCGAAACATTTCAATGCGCAATAAAATGTATCTTTTTTTAAAAACACGTTGCGACAACTGCAAGACACTCACCTGCTAAACTGGTGGAGCAGTGATTTGGTCGTGTACGTCTCCGTGGGAGTGTGCGGACTTTCGTCTCTTTTCTTCCTGTCTGTCGGTGAAATTTACCCAGCTGTCACCGCGCCGCGTTTCCGCCCTTGTTCGGGCAACTAATTCCTTTCCCATATAAGGAGCGCGAGGTGGAGGGCAGCTGTATGTTAGAAGAAAAAAAAGGACGAAATGACTGCTTTTCCTTCCTTCACGCTTCAAGGCGCAAGGCCGTGCAAGCAAAGATGTGTCACTGTGGTGTTCATTTTCCTTCAGAAAGCGCCTCTAAAGGTAATACGGCGCGTGCAGTTTGCACAATAGCGGTAGGGAACATGTCAGCGTTTACGTGCTGGTTGGGCCGTACTGGTTCTTGTGCGGGGAGACTTTAGCATCAAGTTTTTGCTTTAAGCAGTTTCAGTCGCTGCATCTCATCTTGTGCACAAAATAATCATTTAAAAAAAGTGTCACATGTGGAGCATATGCATTCAACGGTGGAAACCTGCAAGCGAGAACAATTACCGCTCTTCTAAAATCAACATTGGGAAACGTTTGATTAATAAATGAATTCAAAGAGACCCACAAACCCATTGTGTAACAAAATAGCAGGTTTGTTACACAATGACTGAAGCGTCATTCTTTCACCATCAACGGTTACGAACGCCATCACCTCACAAATTGTGTTGATGGAGCAGCGAGGCAAAAAAAAAAAGGTTCATGGGAGTCTATAAAACCTCAAATAAACTAAAGGGCGGTGTGACTGGTGGCCCGTATCAGGGTCAATGGGGGTCTTGTGCAAATCTGTTTGAATTGTACCTTTTCAGTGGATGCACGTGCATGAAGGCGCAGTTGCAAACAAGGCCTCAAAGACAAGTTATCATTTACTTTAAGAGTAGGACTTAAATTACATTTATCATCAAATTTCGGGCTTCAAACATAACTAAGCACTTGAGATGCCATTTAGCTAAAGTTATAATCTGGTACGATGCATCAAACTTAAAACAATGGTCTTGCTGTGACATCACATGGTCTCTTGTTTAATTGCATGCTGGCAGTGTAAAGGAGGGACAAATAAAACACTAAGAAATAGGAAATCTTTGGTTCTGTGGAAAAACTCAAACTTAAAAGATTTTATTTTAATTTACACAAAATCCAGTTGCATCAGGTCTGTTCACAGAGAAGGAAACCAGGGGAAAATCCTTCATGACAAGCTTATAAAAACACCTCAAGTTAAACTCCCTTCACGTAACAGCTGCTCCCGGCTTTCTCTGCTGCCTTCACAGTGGACTGTCGAGAGTCACGGTCAATTCACTTCTATTAATCCCCATAACGTCTGGCTAATGTGGCGCTTTCAAATGGAGAAATACTGAATGTTAAAAACTTGCTCAGAAAGCCGGGCATAAACATGAAGGAATATGGCGGATGGAATCAAGTTTGCTTCACAGCAAATCTGAACGAGATGTTTTCTTAAATTTCTCCGCCCCGGCCCGACGTGCACCGAGCTAGTGCAGCAGAAGTGACATCAGCATGAGATAATTTAACATGAAGATCAAGACTAAGCCATTGCTATTCCAAGCGGAGTACAAACTAAAGGGAATAAACGGTGTACCCTTTTTAACATTCAACAGCAAGAAACAACAACAAACATAAAAGTGACCCATCGTGTCGACCTGCTTGCATGCCAAGTTTCACACACAATAAAAGTGTCATTTGGTTAATGTTTTCACTCAATGCAGAAACAAACGTCACTGGTATTGACAAACAGAAGAAAGAAATGAATGGATGTTCGGTGCCTCTACAGCTTTTGAATCTTTATCCTCCCTCGGATGAACCTTCGGCTTTGTCCTATTTGTGGGAATTCATTAACACAGTTCTGGGCCTTTGTGGATGCACAACTTGCAAATTAAAGTTTTGCGATCAATGTTTTAATGTCAGATTGTTCATGCTTAGTAATTCCCATTGAACAAACTGAATATTTGCCTAAATGGAGGCAAGGACAAAGAGGTTGATCCCACTTTAAAGATAAATGGTTCATACCGGTTTGCTGAAACTGCACAGCAACTGCTAAATTAACTCACAGGATAAAAATAAAAATAAAAAAGCCACTTAGTGACACATGGGCTTACCCCCCCTCTTCATCTCCGGCCTACAGGATTGTTTCAATTACTGAGGAGCATGTGGACTTGAACTTCATTCCTGTTAGCTGAAGAATATCCTGTCTTTTCATCTTTAAAGCCAAGGAAATTAAACATTTCACATATTTTGAATGCAGTTCAATTCTTTTTTCTATGGCTGAAACTTTCCAACTTTAACCATCACAGATGTCCCCTTTCAACAAAGAAAGCAGATGTGTAACTCTCGCTGACAGACAAAGTGCATCGACATCTAAAATCACAGCCTTAAGGTGGTTTAAAAAAACAGTGGTTTTCAAGCAGTCGCTGCGTTATTGGCGATTAAGGTGAGCTGGGAAGCGGCCCCGTGTTGGCAACATCTCCGTGTTATCTTCTCCGTCTCTTGAGACCAAAGTCATTAACGTTGTGTCTTCCAGTGTTTGTCCCAGCGACTTCATCCACAGCAAAAGCTTCAGAATAAAAGCGTGTTTTTTTCATTTTGTTTTTAAAAAAGAATCTCTTGCCCTCACTGACTTGTACATGTGTTAACAATAAAAAATAAAAGCATACAAACTGGTCTTTTTCACAGCAGCCCTAGTAGACCCCAACATACAAACATGCAGAAGATCATTCCAGTATCAAACTGTAGCAGACCTGCAATCTGTCACTCTTCATGCACTTGATCCTTTGTTTCTTTATGTTTATGGAAGGTTCCATCGCTGTCATCGGGTCTTGTTTTGGTTGTGATTCACCATGTTGCCCACTAATCAGGCCAGAGTTAACCATCGGCTTGAACGCGGCAGTTTGGTAGCATCAGGTTGACCTGGAACAGTGTGAATAGCACATCTTTGTGTGCATACGTGCGTGTCTACCAGAGGCCAGGTGCGAGCGTATGCAGTGGCTGGTTTCCGTGTCATCGAAGCAGTTCTGTTGTTTTCTTCAATCCCGAAAGCCACGGATCACTCCGGTTTCTCTGTGAGCCATTTGTTAGAGTGGTGACAATACATTCTCTACGTCTGTTAAATCAATACGCTATTTAAAACACAGTGCTCATCACTATTTCCCAGTAAAGTGGTACTTGTTTTCCTTCCGTAGTGGCTCAGTGTGGGAGCAGGTAAAGGTCGGTACAGAGGTCTTCCAACTTGCTCCTCTCCTTCCCTTAGTTCATCTCTGTATCACACAGTCTGTCTTCATGGATGAGAGGTGTGAGGTTTCTGTGTTGAAGAACAACGAAGGGACACCGGAGGAGGAACAGCAGGGGGTGGCAGCTGCCTCGGGGATGCGAGGCGGGCAGAGAGCTGCCCCCCTCCTTTCTTGCTATAGCAGCTCCTCTCGTTGCTTCTTGCCCCTCACGGGCCCCATGCCGTTCCTCAGGGAGCCGTTCTGGGGCCGCAGAAGATGCCCGCGCTCATGCTCCGTCCACGGGACCCCACCCTGCCCATCCTCACTTTCCAGATCAGAGTCTGAGTGCATGAGGGCGGAGGAGGTGGGAGCCGGCACCGGCTTCATGCGCACTGCCAGGGAGGAGAAGGAGGAAAAGGTTGCGTCAAAGCCGAATATCAGAATAGAAAAGCATCACTCACTGCCGTTTACTGACGCCATGTAAAATATACATGATTTTCAGTTTACATCTTTAAAATGTCAACTGATTCTCAGCAGTGTCTAGTGTCCAGCAGAAATGCTGAAGTAAATAAGTGGCAGTGATAGTTTGTGAGTATTACCAGTTCTTGGTGGTTGAAGCTCCAAACTGTCTTGTTCATCAGCTTCTAACATTTTATACCTGCTTTTGCTTCTGCGCACTTTGCTCTTACGCCTTTCAGGGTATTAAAAACAGAAAGTTAGATAAGCCATTTAGTATCATGTAACAGATCATGCATATACTGCACTATGTTTAGCTCACCTTTTGCAGCAACACACCATCCCCCAGACCACAGTTGCTGTAGCAACCACGATCATGAAGGATGCTATGGTCACATAGAGGACGCTCCACTCTGAAAACCAAATTTTATTCAAAAGCAAAGTTCATTATTACTAAGTAACAGAATACATAGAACATGTATAAATGGTGAGACTAAAGCGAAAGATAATTAACAAAGATTCATATCATCTCACCGCAATTGCTCTCTGCATCTCCAAACTGAACTCGGATGAAGTTCTCCATCCAGAAAGGGTGGCAGACACAGCGGCGCGTGAACGAGTCACAGTCGCCGTGACTGGAGCAGTTCAGCTGGCAGACTGAGGAAGGAGAGCGGCACAGCGTACGGTGAAACTAACGGAGGCCTCCATGTTGCGTTACGCGACGCAAACCGAGAGGACCAAATAGCATTCAGCATGCTCACCATAGAATGTAAACAGCTGCATCGAATAACAGTGAACAAGTTTCAGACGCAACAGAAAAACCGGAGCGCAGGATGAGATGCAACTTGTAGCAGCGGCTCAGAAATCGTGGAGGTTTGACCTTTGAACCCATTCAATCCCTGTCATTATGTTCCCATTATCTTTGGCAACAAAGGTCAAGACGTCAAGGCAGCTGAGAGTGACTATTGAGCAAACATCTATGTGTAAAAATACCATCTGAAAGGACAAATATATGAGCCGACCGGCACGTCCACCAATAGTAGTACTCTGCTTAAAAAAAAATCTTCTTTGTTAAATCTCATTTTCCTTTGTTGTTTGCTTCTCTGTTTTTGCCAAGTACTCACTGACTGTATCCACTCGTCGGGCCTTGTAGATCAGAAAGTCGTTCTTCTGTTTGCGCAGTTTGTTGCGAAGGCTAAGTGCAACGCTGTGGCCCGGCAGAGGAGGGCGCCCCGGACCGCCGGACACCAGGAAGACCAGGCGAGTACTGGGGAGGGAGGAAATAGTGGATTAGTAAGGAATCCTTTTGACCATTCCAGCATTTGTTATAATTATACTTTCTTTTTCTTAAACGATTTCAAGCCAGAAAATTAAGGTCCGGTAGGCCTCACCTGTGCTCATTGAACGCACTGATCTCTCGCACGATGATGTCGCTGTCGAGCAGGCCCAGTAAAACCCCCACCTGGCGCAGCAGCATGTCGCGCTGGCGGTGGGACACCTGGGATACAGAGACCTCCAGGACCAACTCCACCAGTTCACGCTCCCATTTGTCTGACAAATAGAGAGGAAAGAAAGCTATTGTGGCGAGGTGAAAAAAAACACACACCCAGCGGGTTCCGACTGATCTGAAATGCTGTGGTTTGCGTGCAAGTGGGCCGAGCAAACCCTCTATTATAGGAAGAGTCATGGAACAACAGTTTTCTCACCTGGTTTCACCTCCAATGCGCCGCTGTCAGTGCTGGTCTGTCCCTTACTGTCGGTTACAGTCAGGGTGAAGCTGTACTTCCCTTCCACCAGGTTTCCCAGAAACAGCACCGCCTGGTGGTCAGAGTGGTTTAGCACTTCCTGTTGGAACAATTGCACAGACGTTTGACAGTATTTCCACGGGGGAACAGCTTAAACGTGTGTAAAGTCTTCTAGCGGAATTTTCTCCAGGATCAGATTGCCTCTGGTCATTTCTCACCCCCGCAGCAGGACTGCTATCGTCTCTGGTCCACAGGAAGCTGACTCCACCATTGTCGTCAGTGGAGTGGGATCCGTCCAGGCTGCCGGTCCTGACAGGCAGGGCGATGGGCGGACTCGACACAACGTGAGCCAGTGGTGGCTGGTCCAGTTCTGTCAGAAAATGTACGCAAGAGATCAGACACAACAGTAAGCTAATTGTTGTGGCTGTTTACATGCTTTATACTATTAGCAATGACTTTGAATTAGAATAGATGTATAGAGATGTGTGCATGAGTTTATTATTGGGTGTTTAAATAGAATCAGTACGCATGCTTCTATGTGTATTGTTCGCTATTTCTGAAAACATTTTAGTCTCATGAAATTATTATTGACTCTGGTAGACTAGTTGAGCTAAAAATATCCAAACTCAAAAATCCCAAAAGACAATATTAAGTCTGAAGATGATGACCGCAATGACAAACAGAAATCTACTTGCAATGCTTACTCGTAAACCCACAACAACTGTGACTGTCGTCACTCGGACTGCAACCCAAGCGAACTACGTATTTATTGATTCATTCATTCATTCATTCATTCATATCTCCTGACCTTCCCTGACGATGACCGTCACGACGTCGCTACTCTGCAGCTTCCTCTCATCCGTTACGGTCAGGGTGAACTCATACGTGCCGACCTCAAGACCTGTCACCGTGGCAACGGCGCCGTCTGCATTCTCAATCTTCACGTCAGGAGGACCCCTGATGGAGGGACAGATGGATAGAAAGGAAGATACGTTAATGCGGAAGGACGGACTGACCTCGATGACACTGCAGCAGAAATCAATTTGACATTTGAATGAGTATGTTTCAGTTATCCCACCAATGCAAGCTACCTGCAAAATATCGTGCATAAGTGTTTCTGACTCACTTAGTTTGTTTCCAGTGGAACGTGGCTATCTTCTGGTCATCGCTGCTCTTACTGCCATCCAGCGTGGTTCGATCAACAGGCAGCGTCAGCTCTTTCTCCGGTCCAGCATCCGCTACTGGTGGCTTATTGTTTTCTGGATGATGGGGAGACAGAAGTAAAAATACATCTCAGTTGTACGACCCACATGACAGATACGCTAGTGAGGGGGCGCGCTAACAAACCCATCCTCCTAAATCGATGACGCATTAAACTGTAGATAAATGGAAAACAACAATTTGGGAGCCAAAAAGGAGGTTAATATTACAAACCAAGCCTTAGATTTACAGACATTACCTGGATTAAAGTTGCAGAATTATGAGGATAAAAAGAAATTAATTCTCTGACATTAAAGGGTCATATATTAAATAAAAGTGTTTCTAGGATAGAATAGTGTAGTTCCAGTAGTGCTGTGAAAAAGTTAACGCCATGCGGCAAACCAGTTATTAGGGTTTGGGGGCAGTTACTTTTTCACATATGGAGAGAAAATATCCAGACCTACGTGGCCCGGATATTTTCTCTCCATTAATAAATATTAAAAACTATATTTTGTATTTACTCAAGTTATCTTTGTTTGATGATAAAAAAATACTTATAACATAACATTTAATAATATAAAAAGAACAACCTGATACAAAATCTAATAGCACAAAGCGTTTCTGTCACAGATCATTACTGAAATGGTTGACACAGTAGGTAGACGTTCACGTTACAGTTCGACCTCTTCAAGAGCGTCACACCCCAGTGTGTCTACAGTTTCCACGAGGAGCATATCAGGTTCTCCGTGCACGTGCACCCACGTGCACGTCCCATTCACCAGTGTAAAACGCTGTTGACCAAAGCTTAAGCAAATAGACCTTCCTCGCAGCAGTAAGTAATGACTTCACACATTGTATAGGCCACGTACAAAGCTACATTATGTGCTGTTCCTTAGTATGCTTGTCACACCTGATGTGCATATTTGTACATAACCTGCGGAAGAGAAGGAAGAGCAAACAGAAGAGCTGGTTCACAGATCAAATGAAGTGCAGGAGGAATGCCAAAAAAGGACTTTAATTTTAGTGTCTTTAAGATGGGCCTAACTGCCCAGAGCTGAGCAAATATTAGTTAATGAATACCGAATCACATAAGAAAATACTGACAAACAGGAGCTGTTTTTATTGCTCACGGGATGTTTACCTGGTTGCACAATGACGGTGACATGCGCGGTTTCCTGCTGTCCAGCGGAGTCCGTCACAGTCAGCTGGAAGGTGTAGTCTCCCTCCTGCATAGCCGACAGCTGCAAGATGGGCGTCCGTACACCCTAAAGGAGCACATGAGATGTCATAGTTAGCCATGATTATTTTATACACGGAAAGAAGACTACCGTTTGATAAAACAAGTATCTCACCTGCATCTCCACCACCTTGTCTTTGCTCTCAGGGCTGAGGGACCACTCGTAGGAGAGGGAGTCGTGGTCGTCGGTGCTTTGGTTGCCGTACAGAGTGATGGAGTTGCGTGGCAACTGGATGACCTGGAGGAAGCAAGAGGAAAGACCAGCTCTGGGTTAACAGGAGGGTACTGGTTTAGTTACGTTTAAGTAAGCTACATTACATTTATACCAGGACAAAAGGGTGGTTTGGTCCATTAAAGGCATGACAATTGAAGAAACCTTCTGACCTGGTTGGCCCCGGCATTGGCCACGGGCCGGTAGTCCTTGGCTTTGTTGACCAGGAGGGAGGCCTGTGTCGAGTTCGTGGCTCCGTCCGAGTCCGTCACGGTCAAACTGACAAAGAACAATCATCGGGTTAAACAGTAGTAACTGTATTGCAATCAGGAGCCTAATAATTACACACATGACTAATACAAAAACACACATCTATGAAAGAATACCTTTGCTTTACATTTTTAGCAACTTTAAGCTGGCTTCAGCTTTTAAAAATATACTTGTGTAGAGAGAAAGGAGGTCCAGTAGGAAAGACCTTGACAGCAATATTATCTACTTATTATCATGGTAAACACTGGGATGTTTGCAAAACAGTTTTCTAAAAACACTAAAAACAGATTTCACGGCCGCCTGTACTTGAATGTGTAGTTCCCATGAACCAGGTTGGTGAGGGTGAGGACGGCGGTGTCCGTAGAGACTTTCTCCTCCCTCAGGGGGCCTTTGACCTCTTCCCAGTGCCACGCCACCACCTTGTCATCGTCTGTGCTCTCTGCGAGGAGGAGAAAATGTACGGGGACGGCCGATCTATTAAATGTATTGTAACAGCTAACAATGCGTTTGTGTATTTGTGCGCGTGTGCCGCGGGGAAGACTCACGGCTGCCGTCGATGACCGTGGAGCTGGTTGGCAAGGAGATCTCCTGGAACTTCGGGGAAACTACGGCGACGGGAGGCCTGTTTACCCGGGGCTCTGTCGGGGCGGAAAGAAACAAATGAGCCGCGAGCAGTGAAAACAAAGACATGACCCACAATGCCACAACAGAGACGGGGCCTCACGACTCAGCTCACCTGGCTTGACTGTGACATTGACGTAACCTTCTCCATGAGCGTCCTCCCAGTGCACCACCACCTCAAACTCATACAGGCCCACAGTCAGCTGGGAGGGAGAGAAGCCAGCAGGAAGAGGCAGTGACACGTTTGAGACAACGTCATTGACTCACTACTTCCATTGATACGTTCAATAGAGCTCAGGCCCCTTTTAGCAGGACATGAAGATGAACGTGGTGATCAGTACCTGGCTGAGTTTTAGCGTCTGGCTGTGCTGCCCTTCCATCTGTCCGCTGTAGTCTTTGGGATGAGTTATCAGACGCCAGTCAAATGCATAGTTTGTCCCTGTAAACAAAAGCGCTCGTGCGTTTAATCACAACGCGTCAGATAAGGATGATTTCCAGATGACAGCTTTTGGGACGAGGAGGGATCAAGAGATTAACAAAACGATGACGTGCGTCCTCTTGGTACGGCGTAATCTTCCTTTTTCCCGGTCTGGATTTGGAATTCTCCGGCAGGTGGTCGGTGTGACGTGACGCGGTAACACACCAGCCAAGCAATGCCTTAAAGGCAACTTAGTTTTCCAATTTCATTACTCTGGAATCATCGATATTAACATGAGAAAAACCTACGTAGAACATTTCTGCAGGAAAATGCAGAAATAACAAAAGGTTTCCTAGAAATGAACTACATTATATTTCCATGCGTTTACCTGGTGGAAGCGCTGAGACCACAAAGGCGTTGAGCTCAACCGCGTTGCGGGGCAACGTGACCTCCACGCTGTCTCCTGCCGACACCACCAGCTCCCTCACTGCTGAAGGAACAAACCAGATTGATAACAAAACCACACGTGACAGAGAGACATTTTTAAGAGAGCAGAGGGGGGTTAAATAACAACGCTTATACAGAGTGAATAGAGACAGATTAAAAGGTAACCTCATTATTATCGATTGGGTATCAGGTCTGTCAGCTGTACTTTGGGGAGAGGTGATGGTATCTTACATGAGATGTAGTACACACGTGTTCTATTCACTTATACAGCTTGGACCTATAAAACTGCAAACAAGCTAATTGAGAAGGGATGACGGCCAACATATCCTGACTCGTAGCCCCCAGCATGGATCAGTGCTACATGATGAAACTCCATCCATCCGGCCGCGTATCCTACATTTAAACAGGATGTCGTTCATTCCACATATTGCATCGTCAGGGTTATTTTCTCACACCTGACAAAACTCTCTTTCGCAACCCCATGAGGTGTAATAACTGTTCACACGGGCCGGAGTATTCCTCCCTATGATAATGGAGAACGATCGTTCCCTTTCAATGCGACTTTGGAATAGCAGGCACTTCTGTTTGTACAAGTCTAAGCTTCTCCTAAAATGCAGCTGCGCTTTGTTCAGTATTCCATTCAAAGCGGCTCATCTTGTTTTGCTTGCCCTTGTAATCACACTGCTGGCTAAAAAGGGGCTAACACCCGTGTATCTTCACTGACATGCAATGTTCTGTCTGTTGTCCGTTTTTGAATGTCAGCTTAATGGCGCTTTGTTCCTCAGAATGGGTAACCGAATCATTCAAGTTGTACCTGTTAGAGGAGCCCGGTGTGTCTCACCACATTCCTGTTGCTTATGCCAACATGGCCTCACACCCGCAGCACACGTTGATGAATAATATGAGCAGTCCGCCACAGAATTTAAAGGCCAAGGACGTCTTTATTTTTTCTCCAAAAAATAAGCTGGAGTCAAAACAAAGCAGTAAAAGACGATTTGCAAACTGAGAGACAGAAAGATGCAGGTCGTAAAGACGGGACTCATATCATGTGAAACCTCACAGAATCAACGGTGCTGCTACATTATTTAGAAGCACGTTAATTAATAAATGAAGACGAGACATATTACTTAACCGGCTGAAAACAGGGGGCAGCGCCTTCCTTACCAGCCTGTGTGGGCGTCGACATAATTGCGGTTGTTGCGGGTGTGCCGACATCACTGCTATTGGAAGACGCAGCTGAATCGGAGGTTTCCGTCGAGTTCGGCCGAGATGCAGCTGGAGGGACGTCTGCACCCCCCGCGGCTAACTGGCTCTGGTTGTTTTGGGCAGTTGGAAGCAGCGCGATGGTGCCGGGTGCAGCCAGGGTGGTGTGAGCCATTTCCACTCTGGGGGTTTCCTGCGGAAACATTTAAACACCAAAGGTATGAAGGATTAGAAAAAGCGAAGGGCATTAATCACCTACTACTCACTTATCTGACTAATGACTGCAAGAATGAGGCATTAAAAAAAAGGAAGAACGACAAAGACGGGGGAATAGAACAGTCCGTGAAGTTACCGTGTTGGCGAGTGGTCCCTTCTGCGCCGCGTGACTCCCCACATGTTCCGCGTGACGAGCTCTTCTACGCCTTGCAGCGATGACGGGGGTCTTGAAGTAAAATTACAGTGAAGTTATAATATACACACACACACACAACTCTGTCAATAAGCTCCGATGCGGGGGCTCTGTACCTTGGAAAGCAGCTGCAGGAGGCCGAGGGACTCCTCGTTGGGGCCGCGGCAGGAAGGCGATGGAGCAGCCCGTTTCTGCGCGCGCAGCGGAGGAGCATACTGCGCCCTCAAGGCTTCACGTGGCGTCGAAGCTCGGAATCCAGCAGCACGACTCCCAAACACGTGGCCCAGCCTCCTTCCTTGGACATGAAATTCCCAAACACAGAGCAGTAGACGCCTCCTCCATAGGATGGCCCCAGCATCCCCCCGGTCACCCGGCAGAGGTTTGCCGACACATCTGGACGGAGGCGGATGAAAACCAAAAGCATTTGTGTATCCCGATGGTAGGAGAAAAACATATATGTATTGCAACAATTGTCATAGTTAATAAAAAAAGTGTGGAAGTCCATCCCCAAAACATGGGTGATGAGGAAGAGAGAAAAGACGTTTTTTATAGCGTAGTTTGATCAAAAGGATCGGAAGGCAGAGATCCCGGATCCGCCAACGGGCAACGCTTCCCAGGCTTTTTCAAGACTTGTTGATATCAATCGGGGCATTGTTTGGGCGCTCTTGGCATCGTTCCGGGCAGAGCGAAACCCACCGTGAGACATTTTCTCAGAAAAGGAGACCGACAGGCGCAAATTGAGCAGTTAGCCGAGTCAGCGGCAGACAAAGGAAGTGAGGCTTTTCCCTGACAAAACAAGACACTGATTAAAACCCAAAGCACAGAGTGCAGTACGCACGGGACCGTATCAGAGTCATATCTGCAGGGAAGAGAGCTGGTGCGGTTCGCTTCAGCTGTGCAGGGCATCGCTCCAGGTGATACAACTACATTCATATTCAAGCCGTCGCAATGTCAAGTAAAAGCGCAATTCAATCCATCCATTGCACAAGACAGTCACTGTGTAGCCAGTTACAATGAACAGCGGACGGTGAAGTTTACAACGGGGAGAATCGGGAGGCTATATTTCACCACCACTTAAGCTAACGTCAACACAGAAGCCAAACTAGTCTTTGAATAACAGCCCAGGTTGCAGGAAAACTACGGAGTCATTCTGAAATACAAAAACTGCAGCTGCAACGAGAAGGACCGAAGCTCGGTTTTGTATTTGTCCTGCGGCTCCTAATGGCGAACACACACGGAAGAAGTTAAAATCATTCGTCCACGCGTTCATACCCGTGATTAGAATCACATACTCCAAATACTCCAATGGAATCTCAAAACCGGAATGGCGGGTGAAAACTACGGCAGAGGTCATTCAGAATTTAAATGTGTGCATTCCAACACTGTTTGGTAAAACCAAGTAGCAACGATTTTCTTGGTGGAGCCGAGTGTGAGAAATAGGCAAAGACTTCCCGAACACTAAAAAGCAGTTCATCCGACCGCCTAAGACAGTGCTGCACCCGCAACTGTTGCTACCATGGCAACAAGGTTGACTTTATGGGGTGTCAGCAAGAAAAGAAACCAAGTACACACAGAGCATTATAATTTGTTTGAAAAAGGACGCTTTGGTCTCTGTTTAGTCGTCCCACCCCTTGTCCACTCTTCGTCTGTCCCCCCCGCCCCCCAACACACACAGCCCCTATTGTCCTGCTTCACATTGTAACCCACTTAGCAGAGCGGCATCAGAAAGAAGGCAAGACACGCACACAGACACGCACACAGTGGGGGTGCCTGCTGTCCTCCATCCCCTCGCTCCGGATCAGCAAACACCACCCGAGCACCATAGGAAGGGTAAAGAGCAGCCCTGAGGAATCACAGGCTGTGAACCTGCGGTGCGGATGAGTGCCCAGATGAGGCACAGTTGTGAGACGTCCTATCAGTTCTCTGTCAACAGCTGTGCGTTTGCCCGTCGCTTGCTGGGTGGTGCTTTGTCTTACCTGGGGGAGCCGCCAAGAGCAAGAGGTAGGACAGTGGCAGGAGGAGCAGGTGAGGTGAGCTCCAGGTGGGCAGCTTGTGGTGTGCATAGGACATTTTACACAAGGACCTAGAGAAGTAGAAATACGTGTGTATGTTTTAATAATCATCCAACAAAAATGGACCACCAGCAATAAAATGAATAGTTGGACATTTTTAGAAACACGTTTACCTTTCTCCTGGCCGGACGCTGGGAGAACGAGATGCGGGAGGAGAGCAGGAGCGAGGAGTTAGGTGGGCAGCCGGGTGGTGCGAGGCGACGGGTGGAGACGGGTCAACACCAGCACTCTGAGGAAGAGATCCAACATGGCCGCCTGCGGGGCCTTCACAGGCTCAGCTGCTCAGCAAACACCTCACTACAGAGGGTGAGAAGATGAGTTAACAAGTGGATCAGTGATGCGCTTGTTGCGTTACCGGTTTACAAGATTTTGTATCAAGTCATGATTTCACATTATGTCATTACTAATTAACTAAAATTGTTACTGTAGTTTTTGTTATACACGTCAAGTGTTGTGTCTGACCTGATGCGAAACAGTGACAAATTCATCTGAAAAATCAGATTCATATATGAATAGTTGTATATTATATGAAGTCCCTTTGATTACAGCTTTTCCCTCCGTCCCTACTTTGCTTACAGACAACTGTGAACAAACAAACAAATGAAACAAGGCGGTTTCCGTACGCAACAATTCTGTTAATTCCCTGAAGACGGGTGAGAAATGACTCACAGTCCTGTGACTTCCTGCTTTGATAAGTTAAAATAAATCCAAGCGACAGACAAGTGAAAATGAATTTACATACTTCGATGGTCCCTCACAGACAAAGGCTTGTGGCAAAGCATATTTAAGGTTACTTTAACCAATCTGACAGCAGTGCAGAAAATGTAACGTGCAACAGAGCCTCAGGCCTACCAGACCCCTTAACTAACTTCCTAACACTCAATGTCACTTCCTGCAGGAAGTGTGAACAGGACGTGCGTCATTTCAATGCAATTAGCCTCGATAATGAATTCACGCTGGAGAAGAATTCTTTGCCGAATGAGTTAAAAAGTAACGTAATGTTCTTCCGCGTCAGGGAATCTGTCTTGTGGCACACAAGTAGATTCCTCTACAACTAAAGAAAACCCCTCACAACGGGAGACTGGGGATTTCATGAGAAACGCATGGAGTCGTTGGGAGTAAAACAGCCATACTGCACTTCTTCCCTTGCAATTTATTCCAGCGGAAGAGGTAAAAAAAAAAAAAAAAAGCAAAAGAGGAGTGAACAGCACAAGTCCCGGGACAAGACGTGAGCGAGCCTCTTCCACCACGAGGTCCCACCAGGACACGACTATGGGATCGTGTAGCAATGAATCAAGCAGCTCTCACAGGCATCTGCTGTGCAGACGGTCTGTGGATCTGAGCTGGACACTGACGGGGATATTAATAATAATACTCCATCGCTATTGGTCAGTTTTTAAAGACATGCAGATGGAGAAAAGACATGACTCCAGTAAAAGTGGTTATTGTCATTAAGCTGAAAGCACACACGTGTGTTAGAGGTTTGCAGTGATCTCCCAGAACAAATCCCAAGCTCTCACGCCGTCTTGTAACAATGAACTTCTGACACGAACCTGGATTATCTGCCTCCATACGTGAACGTGCGCTCTGCTGCACACGGACGCCGGAACCCCAGCAGCCTCCTTCCGTGCCGCAGCGGACAGCTCAGTAAGCCCCTAATTCACAAACAGTCATTAGGCCTCCTGCGCTCGTATCCCTCTCCAAGGTGAGGCCCCAAATGTGGGGAAAAAAGATCCAGGTAAAAAAAAAAAAAAAAAAAAAGCGTAAGTCACGTTTTTTCCCTCCTTGATACCAAAACAGAAGCTAATGCCCGCAGGCTGGTGTCTGCTGCACCGGTTATGCTCAGGTGAGTTTGGTCACCTGGGCTGATGACAGCTCAGCCATTACAGACGTTTCAAAGGCTACTTTTCCCTTGAGAAGCTTCTGCAAAACAATGATCTCTGTGACCAAAAACCCAGCTTATATCTGGAGAGGACAAGCTGTCTCTCTCCCTCGCTCTGCAGTCAATGGCACGCTTGTTAGCTCTGTGTTGGTTGCTAGGCGGACCGGTTGGTGGCGATTTCTCTGTAAATGACACCAGGTCCCACGCACAATTTCTTCTGGTTGCTAAAGGGAAGGAAAATTCAGTTGTTAATTCAGTTTATCAGACAATAAGTAGAAGAAGCAACCTCCCATTTAGCCGTGACTACTACAGGAACATCCGTATATTCTGATCCTACAACATTTAAATGGGTCCAATGAAAGTAGGAAAAGCCCAAACCCCTGTTCAGGCATATTGAAATTAAAATAAATGATCAGGTTATATAGAAACACACTTTTAGTCTCTAACTTAAGACTGTGAGCTGTCGGCCAAAGATACTTCTTCATCTTAAAAGGCAGAAGCTCAACAAGACAAACAGTTGAATGTGTTCTCGCCTCATTTTCTCAAAGATAACAACTCTTAGTGACTAAAGGGATGTTCTAAAGCATTTGCACTAGGGATGATGATGACTTAATAAAACAATGTCACACATTAGTTAGGCTTTACTCCATTACAATGATTAGTTCTTGCAGAGCAGGGATCGATTGACTGATTTAAGTGCAAATAAGTTGCACGACAGGCAGCACGAATGGAGGCAGTCAATCAAATGAAATGCACGAGCAAGGGCAACTCGCTGGGGTAAGATCTCACCCAAAATGGAAGGCTCGTGCATTATGGATCTTCCCAGCCTGAAACAACAGTCCGGGTTTTTTTAACTGTCTCCGGCTGTCACACGTGCAGTAAAAGGCGCAGAGCGACGCGGGCCGCTGCGCTATCCCGAACAACCGGGGGGCGTCTCGAGTCAACGACACGACACCTCGGGTCCTACGCGGATCTTCGTTACATTGAACGTTGAGGGGGAACACCGGCGCAAAACCCCGGATCCCCGCTGTGCGAGGCACCTTGAGGCGAACAGCTGCTGTCGCCTCTCCGTCACTGCGCCTGAGCGGTCGACACAGCGATGCGCACAACGTCATGCAAACACTGCACAGGGAGGTAAAGTGACATTGGACTTACAGTAAAGGGACAGTTGCGGCGCGCTGAGTCGTAGTTGTCGTCCCCGGTAAGAGGTAATTAGGTCAGCAATCTCTCGCACGTACAGCTGATGTGCCTGTGGATCCACTGTCAAGTCA